CTTCCTTCAGGAGCTCTTCTAGAGGAACATTCTCATACTGAGTTCTGGACTTTTCTGTGAGAAACTCTTTCAGAACTTCACAGTTTTTGTGTAAAAAGCAGAAAAACACATACAGTGCTGCAAAAAACTCCTGAAAGCTCAGATGTACAAAGCTGTAAACCTTCCTGTGATAAATCACAGATTCCTCCCTAAAGATCTCAGTGCAAATCCCAGAATACACTGAGGCGTCAGTGACGTCTATGCCGCTCTCAATCAGGTCCTCCTCATAGAACATCACATTGCCCTTCATCAGCTGATTGAAAGCCAGTTCAGCAAGTTTCACAATCACTTCTCTGTTGGACTGCAGGAGTTTCTCTGGATCTCTCTCTTCATACTTCTGGTTCCTCATATGAGTTTGAATGAGGAGGAAGTGTATGTACATTTCAGTCAGAGTTTGAGGGATTTCTGCACTGAGATCTTGTTTCAGGATGTTTTGAAGCACAGTGGCTGAGATCCAGCAGAAGACGGGTATGTGGCACATGATGTGGAGGCTTCTTGCTCTTCTGATGTGTGAGATGATTCTGCTGGCTTGATGCTCATCACTGATTCTCTTCCTGAAATATTCCTCTTTCTGAGGGTCATTGAATCCCTGAATTTCTGTCACACGGTTGATGTATTTGGAGGGGATCTGATTGGCTGCTGCTGGTCTGGTGGTTATCCAGATGAGAGCGGAGGGAAGCAGATCTCCTTTCATGAGGTTTGACATCAACACACCCACTGATGAAGTCTCAGTCACATCTGAAACGTTCTCACTGTCTGAAAACTTCAGTGTCAATCTGCTTTCATCCAGACCATCAAAGATCAACACAACTGTACATTCATCATAAATGTTTATGTCCAGATCTTGAAGTTCAGGATGAAAGTCCAGCAGAAGTCTGTGAAGACTGTACTGATGATCTTTAATCAAGTTCAGCTCTCTAAATGGAAGCACAAACATGAAATCTACATCCTGATTGGCTTTTCCCTCGGCCCAGTCCAGAATGAACTTCTGCACAGACACGGTTTTTCCGATTCCAGCGATGCCTTTAGTAAGAACAGTCTTGATTTTGTCTTTCTTCTCTCTTCTCTTCTCCTCATATCCTAGTTCAGGTGAAGGATCAAAGATGTCATTGCAGTGGATTGGAGTGTCTTGGAGGGTCTTGTAACTTTTCTCCATCTGTAGCACCTCATGTTCTTCATTCACCCCTTCACTCTCTCCCTCTATGATGTACAGCTGTGTGTAAATCCTGTTCAGGAGAGTCTGATTCTCTTGTAGTTTGATTCCCTCAAATACGCTCTCATATCTCTTCTTCATGCTGGTTTTGTGCAGGTCTTTGACTCTCTGAAGATCATCATGCACTGGTTGGTGGGAATCGAGCTGCAGGGCTGTGTCATGATGACTGATGTGTTTCTGACAGGAGGAGGATGTGCTGGTCTGACAGGACACATCTCTGATCTGGTCAGCTCTCCCACCACTGAAAATACATTAAAACAAACAGAAAATACATTTATCAAAATAGAGAAAATATGTAAATATCTTTAATATTAAATAATCTTATTAAAAATCATACCACAACCAAATGATAAAGAAGTGTTTGTTTAATAAACCTATTTTACATATAATGAATCTATTGTGGCCAGTTGATTTTATGACATAAAGTTCCTCAAGGTTCTGTTCCCCTCCAATATTGTACAATTTGTACGTCTCCCCCTTACAGAACAAAAAATATATGTGAATATACTACAAAATATAATGCAATATATTACATAATACATTTCCATATATGGGAAACTAGTGCTTTCTTTTTTTTTAAATACTACAATATATCCATTGGCCACTTTTCTTTTCTTTTTTACCATGGTTCACTGTTTTTGTTCAGTATTTTTAATTCTAAAATAATAAACATTTCATAATTCCTAAAAATGTCATAATTTCATTACATTTATACTAGATCTTGAAATTAGACCAATATAAGTCAATTAATTAAACATTATTAAATTGATAAAACAATATAAGTTGGACCAAACTAAGACAATTAAATAATAGTAAATTGACTAAATTAAATAGTACATAAAAAATTAAATATACCTTAGTACATGAGTTAAATTATGTTGAATTATGTAAGAAGATTTAGTTTGACAAACCTAATAAAGTTGATATAATCCAACTAAATTGTGTTGACCCAATGAAAGTGACTTTATTTGAATGAAGTAAATTAAATCAAGTTTAAAAGCGTTCCTAAATTAAACAAAGTAAGGGTAATGAATACATTTTTAAAGCTGCAGTCAGTAGCTTTTTTGGGTTAAAAATGATCCAAAATACATTTTTGAGAAAATACAAAACCAGCCAGTGTTCAAAACTCTCTGCTTGCCTTAGCTCGATTCAAAGCGGTAAGCTTGTAATAATGTTTTTAATTCCAGTGGTACTGGTGGATTTCCGCGGGAGATTCGAGCATGTCTTTGCGTCATTACATCACATCTGTACACATAAAGAAGAGTCTCGGCTAGATTGAGTGTGAGGATGTTGGAGGTGGAGATTTATAGCCTTTTCTCACAGCACTTGATATAATTAAACTTATCAATTTGATGGCGGATCCAGAAAGGTTCAAACGACAATCACCAGTGACAACAGATTCACCCGCTGTAAAATGCAAAAGACTTCGTTCGGACTTCAGAGTGGCTACAGAAAAAAAGAGACTGCAACCGGCTCATGCGAAAACAAGGATACATATCGGAAGGACATTAAATGTAGTCACGCAATGCTGACGTTGTTAACATTAACAATTTGAGAACAAAGTGTAATTTGCACGGTTTTAAGTGATATGATAAGCGATTGTTGGATTTAATCAGCGTGATTTACTGCAATGTCAGAACCAGAACAAAACTGGATGTTACTTACTTGTTCAGATGACATTTTCCGGTGAAAATTATTATGTTGGTCATACTCCCAAAAAGAATAATCTGTGATTCTGAATGCCAGTATCGACACCGGCGCGGTGACTGACAGCTGCACACTCTCCTCAAAACATCGGATTTATCCGCGCTGTGCCGTGTCGAAGTACAACTCACGTAAAGTTGATAATTCCGCGAATGACTGCAATTGCAGATTTCGAGCAGAGATGGCGACAAAGAGAAAAAACTGCGGACTGCAGCTTTAAGTGCACATGAATATACTCACACAGGGTCGAAGGGCACGGCTTCATTACAGAGATCAGTGGGGTGAATCATGGGTCTGTTACTCTTCATAGACACACATCTGAATACTGGAGATGCTGCTATCTTTCTCTTCCTGCTGATGATACTGAGAAAAAAAGAGATATATTTCAGATCATAATGAGATATACACTACTGTGCAAAAATCTTAGGCACATTTGTATTTTCACCTGCCAAAAATGGCTTTAAGTCGGTTATTTATATATTTTGTCAGTAGGAAATATGAGTTTACATTTAATTATTTTGCCATTAATTGAAATAATCCAGTGAGTTTTTTGTATGCACACAGAGTCTGACAACAGCCGGTATGATCTGATCTCACCATCATCGAGTCTGTCAGTGATCACATGAAGAAACAGAAAAAACTGAGACAGATTAAATCCAGAAGAAATCTGGCAACGTCTGTATTTAAGATCATTTCTGAAGCCAGAAAAATATACCACAGTTGCCAAGTTACTCTAGTTGCTATTAAAGCAGCAGTAGGTAACTTTTGAAAAAAATATTTTTTTTACATATTTGTTAAAACTGTCATTATGTCCTGACAGTAGAATATGAGACAGATAATCTGTGAAAAAAATCAAGCTCCTCTGGCTCCTCCCAGTGGTCCTATTGCCATTTGCAGAAATACACTGCTCCCGGTCAGAAACAACCAATCAGAGCCAGGAGGAATGTCTTAGCAGTATCAATCAAGCTCGTGTACGCGCTGATCACACCCCTCTCTTGCACAGCGCGTACCGTCGTTCAAAATCAAGATTGCCGGTGTGCCGCATCTGTGCTAATGGCAGACACACCACCAAAATTGCCAATTTTTCGAGTGGCTCCTGCTCATCCAACAAAGATGTGTAAACGGAAAAAAAACGATGACGTTAAACAAGCGAAAAAGAAAGAACTAGACAGAGCGCGAAATAAAACGAGGGTAAACATCGGAGCGGCTTTTCCTAGGTGGAGGGAGCTACGCGTTTAAAAAAAACTAAAAACCGATGCAGAGTTAGCCACATTTCTGCTTGACAAGTAGCCTAAGTATCCCTGCTTTATTTGTTTCATTTTATCAGAACTCCGCGCACATGGCTTCCTTTTTAGTGATTATTTGAATTACACTGCGCAAACCAAAGTAATAGCCTACTACCCACCCGATGAAGAAGGGTGGCTCTCAGTCTCCACAGTACATAATTCTATTTCATTTTTTTTTATTTTTCGTGTTCGCAACAAATGTTACAGACGTGTTCACCGTTACGGACGTGAGCGCTCTGAAAGCGCCACTAAAAGATGCTTTAAAACTTTCAAAGAGACATCAAACAGAAAGCACAAAACCGTTCTTTAACCTGAATTTCGTTTTGTATTAATTGTATCTTAATTTTAATCAATGTTTCATCAACCAATTGCCTGATTTAATAAATAAGAAGTAAATATAGTAGACGATAGATAAGAAACGGAGGCGCTGGCGCGTGAACTGGAACTCGTCTCGTAAATGAACCGAAACTCAGCGCATAAGGTAGCCTACTTGCCTCACAGACATGTCTACTTTTAAGAAAGAAAACACTTGTTTATTAATAAACAATTAAAATATCTCCTTGCTATATTTTACATATTCATAATCATTACTTTTGCCGGTTCTTTGTGACAGCTTTTAGGTGCTTTATTGGCAGCGCCGCCACCCTTACATGCTTATGAGTCGCCACCGCATCACCGCACCCACCAGAATAGGCCTGTAGCCTATATATAAAATTCTGGATATATAGAGCTATATATATATATATATATATAGCTATATTTATATATACACTCACCTAAAGGATTATTAGGAACAACATACTAATACTGTGTTTGACTCCCTTTCGCCTTCAGAACTGCCTTATTTCTACGTGGCATTGATTCAACAAGGTGCTGAAAGCATTCTTTAGAAATGTTGGTCCATATTGATAGGATAGCATCTTGCAGTTGATGGAGATTTGTGGGATGCACATCCAGGGCACGAAGCTCCCGTTCCACCACATCCCAAAGATGCTCTATTGGGTTGAGATCTGGTGACTCTGGGGGCCATTTTAGTACAGTGAACTCATTGTCATGTTCAAGAAACCAATGATTCGAGCTTTGTGACATGGTGCATTATCCTGCTGGAAGTAGCCATCAGAGGATGGGTACATGGTGGCCATAAAGGGATGGACATGGTCAGAAACAATGCTCAGGTAGGCCGTGGCATTTAAACGATTCCCAATTGGCACTAAGGGGCATAAAGTGTGCAAAGAAAACATCCCCCACACCATTACACCACCACCACCAGCCTGCACAGTGGTAACAAGGCATGATGGATCCATGTTCTCATTCTGTTTACGCCAAATTCTGACTCTACCATCTGAATGTCTCAACAGAAATCGAGACTCATCAGACCAGGCAACATTTTTCCAGTCTTCAACTGTCCAATTTTGGTGAGCTCTTGCAAATTGTAGCCTCTTTTTCCTATTTGTAGTGGAGATGAGTGGTACCCGGTGGGGTCTTCTGCTGTTGTAGCCCATCCGCCTCAAGGTTGTGCGTGTTGTGGCTTCACAAATGCTTTGCTGCATACCTCGGTTGTAACGAGTGGTTATTTCAGTCAAAGTTGCTCTTCTATCAGCTTGAATCAGTCGGCCCATTCTCCTCTGACCTCTAGCATCAACAAGGTATTTTCGCCCACAGGACTGCCGCATACTGGATGTTTTTCCCTTTTCACACCATTCTTTGTAAACCCTAGAAATGGTTGTGCGAGAAAATCCCAGTAACTGAGCAGATTGTGAAATACTCAGACCGGCCCGTCTGGCACCAACAACCATGCCACGCTCAAAATAGCTTAAATCACCTTTCTTTCCCATTCTGACATTCAGTTTGGAGTTCAGGAGATTGTCTTGACCAGGACCACACTCCTAAATGCACTGAAGCAACTGCCATGTGATTGGTTGATTAGATAATTGCATTAATGAGAAATTGAACAGGTGTTCCTAATAATCCTTTAGATGAGTGTATATATATAAAATATTGGCTTTATATCAGTCACCGGCCACCCTGCTCTCTTGGATATTTGTATCGGCATCGGCCATCAAAAAAACAATATCGGTCGACCCTTACTCCTACACTTACAGAAAGATGTAAATAAATAAAGATTTTATGAATGACATCGTTTCACCAGTAGGTGGCGACAAGTGACTTAATAAAATGTATTTGTCATTGAATCATTAATTAATGAGATTTGTTCAAAAACTCTGACTCCTCCAGTAATGAAACAAGTAAATCATTGTATCATTGATTCAAAATTAAAGTAATAATAATAGTAATTAATTTAAATTAATTCGATATTTTTAAATAGACTGCAGCAATTAAAATTTTTCCAGAACTTCTAGAAAATTACATATTTTGTTTAGTTGTCTATATTCAGAATTGTGACAGAATCTCTATTTTAAAGCTGCAGTCCGTAGCTTTTCCTCTTTGTCGCCATCTCTCTGTTCGAAATCTGTAACTGCAGTGATTCGCGGAATTATCATCTTTACGTGGGTTGTAAATCGGCATGAAACAGCGCGGATGAACACAGTGTTTTGAGGCGAGTGCTGCTGTCAGTCACCGCGCTGTGTGGATACTGTCATACAGAATCACGGATTCACTTTTTGAAAGTTTGACCAACATAAGAATTTTCACAAGAAAATGTCTTCTGAACAAGTAAGTAAAATCCATTTTTGTTCTGACCAACTAAGGGGGAAAAAGCATTCGACATAAGCTTCATTAGATTTAATCAACGCGATTTACAGCAACCGTGCAAATTATAGCCTACTTTGTTCTCAAATTGTTCATGTTAACAACATCACATCAGCATTGCGTGACTAATGTTAAATTTAATGTGTTTTATGGTTACCTGTGTAGTTCAGAATTCATATTCTCCATAATAGCAAAACGAGAAAGGCACAATAAAGGAAACTCCATAACTGTGTGAATTAAGAAAACGTACTGTTACACGATTGAACTATTGAAATGTCTTACTTGTTAAGCAGAAAAAAGCCGTCACTTCTTCCGTTTTGAACCCCTTCAAAACACAGAGTTCACGCACTTTTCAAAAGCCCCGCCGGTGTTTAAATCCTTGTGTTCGCATGAGACCGTTTCTTTCTCTTTCTCTAGCCACCTTAAATCCGAAGTACGAAGTCTTTTGGGTTTTATAACTGCTGAATCTCCAGTTGACACTGATGATTGTTGTTTGGATCTTTCTGGATGCCATAAGTTTAATTATGTAAAGTGCTGCGAGAAAAGCCTATACATCTAAACATCTCGTCACGCGAAGTATAGCCGGCTAGCCGAAACTCCTTCTTTATGTGTACGGGTGTGATGTAATGACGCAAAGACATGCTCGAATTTCCCGCGGAAACCCACCAGTACCACTGGAATTAAAATCATTATTACAAGCTAACCATTTTGAATCTAGCTATGGCAAGCAGATAGTTTTGAACACTGGCTGAATATTTTTTTTTAAATATAATTATTTTGGATTATTTTTAATTTAAAAAAGCTACGGACTGCAGCTTTAAACAAAAAAAATTGTGATTCTTAAATCATCCAGAATTGTGCAGCTCTAGCAGATAGTGAATGATACTCACGCAGGGTCAGAGGTCACAGCAGGTCCATCACTGAGATAAGGGGGATTAATCATGGAGTGGTTACTCTTCATGGACACACAGGTAAATCCTGGAGATGGTCCATCACTGAGATTAGGGGGCTCAAACATGGAGTGGTTACTCTTCATGGACACACAGCTAAATCCTGGAGATGGTCCATCACTGAGATTAGGGGGCTCAAACATGGAGTGGTTACTCTTCATGGACACACAGCTGGATCCTGGAGATGGTCCATTAATGAGATAAGGGGGCTCAAACATGGAGTGGTTACTCTTCATGGACACACAGCTAAATCCTGGAGATGGTCCATTACTGAGATTAGGGGGCTCAAACATGGATAGGTTACTCTTCATGGACACACAGCTAAATCCTGGAGATGGTCCATCACTGAGATCAGGGGGCTCAAACATGGAGTGGTTACTCTTCATGGACACACAGCTAAATCCTGGAGATGGTCCATCACTGAGATTAGGGGGCTCAAACATGGAGTGGTTACTCTTCATGGACACACAGCTGGATCCTGGAGATGGTCCATTAATGAGATAAGGGGGCTCAAACATGGAGTGGTTACTCTTATTAGACACACAGCTGAATCCTGGAGATGGTCCATTACTGACATAAGGGGGCTCAAACATGGAGTGGTTACTCTTATTAGACACACAGCTGAATCCTGGAGATGGTCCATTACTGACATAAGGAGGCTCAAACATGGAGTTGTTACTCTTCATTGACACACAGCTGGATCCTGGAGATGGTCCATTACTGAGATTAGGGGGCTCAAACATGGATAGGTTACTCTTCATGGACACACAGCTGGATCCTGGAGATGGTCCATTACTGAGATTAGGGGGCTCAAACATGGAGTGGTTACTCTTCATGGACACATAACTGAATCCTGGAGATGCTGCTCTCTGAGTGTGTACAGACGCCTCCTCCTCTTTCACCTCATACACACTCATTTTACATGCAGGTTTCTGTTTCTCTTCTTCTTTAAAGAAGACAGATTTGATTTCAGGCCTGTATGTGGCAAGAAAAAGCAAGAATAATACACTACATTTTGACAATTAAATTAAAATGAATCTCTTAGGTTTAACTATATTATTCTTATTTCATAAACTTTCTTACCTGGACATTTTAATTTAACAATGGTTTTTTCCTATTGCTTAATGTGCGGTTAAGTTCTGTATTTTCAAAATGGTGATAATGTCTATGTAGCTACCCCTGTCTCTCTCTCTCTCTCTCTCTCTCTCTCTCTCTGTCTGTGTGTGTGTGTGTGTGTGTGTACCTGGTTTTCCCTACTTATGGCGGACCAAATGTCCTCATAAGGATAGTAATACTATCTGTAAATTTTGACCTTATATGAATTTTTTGTAGTCCCAATGTGGAAAACAGCTTATAAATCATAACAAATTAAGTGTTTACAGATAACATAGAACCAGATAACATTAAACATCTATTAATGTTTACTGGAAGAACGTTTGTTCATAACTTTGAGAACGAAGAGGACCTTGAGATAATGTTAGCCAGAGTTATGAGAACGTTTCCTGTTACGTAAACAACTCGACTTTTTTGTGAAATTTCGCTATTTTTAATTGAAAATATGCTATAATTTACCTGATACATGTCATTCATAAGTGAATGTGTTGAGACAATAAACGTTTTGTGTTTTTTAACATGTTAAATAAGAGTGAATGTAGGCTACGTTAAAGACATGGTTATACGGCCTTGTTTTCAGCCCAACATGTTTTGCTCTTACTTGTTTCTGTATTCATACATCGGTTCACAACAGTTTATTATTCTTTTCAGGTAACCGCACAAGCTACACTCAGAAATACAATCTGTGTACGTTTATCCATTTCAGGAGTATTACAGTTGCCATCGTGAAATACGTCAGAAACAATTAGCTTTAACGTGTTTGAGTTCGGTATACACCCAGATGGTCTATCTATAGGTAGATTTTATTAATAATGCTATCTATATTATAGAAAATTATATTATAGAAAACGTTTTAAGAAACTTACCATGAAATTCGAGGCCATTTCTTGAATTCTCTGAAATTGAGTCCAATTGTCGGACTCGACCGCTTTCGGTTTCACTCTCTGAGACACACAGGCGAACTCCGTGAACATCATCGAGCCCCGCCCCAAACTGGATTTAGATACGTCAACTGTGTTGGACAAGAGATTAGAAGTGCCACTTAAAATTAAATAAAGGAGTGAGTAGCCTACTTATTCATTTCAGAAGTAAAAATATAGCATAGGCCCTACATGAATAAATCGCCTTTTAGCTGATAGATGAATTGGGTTATGGCGATGTGGGACAAGCTTTAATATGTAAGCAGGTCTATGTAAATATCGCCATTATTAAAGCTGGATTGTAACGTGTTTTTCTTGTCATTGAGGACAGTTGTCAGAGCAGGAACCCCATGTAAAAAAAAAAAATGCATCCATGTAATAATATGTAAATTGACATTGTGAAGTTATTTCTTTAAAAAAAACATCAAATAATGTTCAGAAGTAAGATTTCTTTTTTTTTAAAGTAAAATAAAAATTATTACTTTTATTCAGCAAGGACACTTTTGATCAAAACAATGTTTACAATATTACAAATGTTCTATATTTTACATAAATGGTGATTTTTAAAAAAAAAAAAATCTATTTGTAACCTTTGGCTAAAACTATTAAGAAAGCCAGACGTCGCCTACAGTATTTCACCACCCAGGAAAATAAAATAAAAATACCTCACATGTGGTTACAGTGAGGACCCTGCTGGTTTGAATTGGATTAAAAGTCAGAGACGTGCTTCCAAACAATACAAGTTTTAATTTTCAACTTTGCAAAAATAATCTTCTTCCACTAAAAGCTTTCTAGGGAGAATGGAAAGGTGTAGCACCAAACACTAGTCCCAAACAGAATAATGAACAAACCACTTGCAGCGCGTAGATCCAAAAAAAAAACTCAACAATCTGAAAAAAAAGCTCCGCACACGAAAATTGGACAAAAAGCTTGCAAAATATGATTGTCTAGAGAGCCCACAAATAAAGTGCAAAAAGTACAAGGTGTGCTTGCACTCACTAAAAGCTTTCTAAAAATGTACCCTTGACAGTTTACCAATTAAATACCCACAGTTAATAAGACACTATAATAAATCCAACATTAACAGAAAAGACAAAATCACACATCAAATCAGTGCATAAATCATGTGACACTGAAGACTGGAGTAATGATGCTGAAAATACAGCTTTGATCACAGGAATACATTACATTTACATTACATTTAGAAAACAGTTATTTTGAATTTTGAACAGGTTTTCTATTGCAAGAAGAGCAAGAACGGGGCTGGCCACACACTGAATTCAGTACAGACTACAGAAGTCTGTCAAAACATGTTTTTATTTTCTGGATTGCATAGTGCAAAAAGTGCAAAGTGAATTAAAATCAAATGAAGAGTAGCAAACGTTTCAGCACGGTGCTATCTTCAGTGCTCACTCTTCAACAAACATTCACCCTTTGTATATTGCAAGAATACATTACTGTTTTTACATTTGGCTTGTAGTGTACATTAATAAAAATAATAATATTTGTCTGCCAGCTGCTTGGCTAGCGCTTTGTTATGGTGTTTTGTATAGTAACTAGGGAGTTGTTACCAGGGTTTTCTGGGTGGTTGTTAGGCTGTTGCTTAGCAGTAGATTGGTCACTTATATGGTTGATGTGAAAACCTACAAAATGATCATACAATAAAACACAGAGGGAAAATCTGTTAAATAAGGTTTAATTCTGCCTTTATTTATCTTCAATATGAGCCTGGTATCTAAGATGTGGATTTTCGTCCACATATTTCCTAATGTACCAACAGGAGATCCTCGCTTTCATATTTTCTTCAACAAGGAAATCCAGAGCCGCCTGAAGAAGAAGAGAAGTAGATGATTGAGTTGCAGGAACAGCAGAAGTTGAGTAAGTGAGGGAGTGTAAAGCGGTCTGACCTTCGCCAGGTGTGCAGCAACACCTTTACCCCTGTGAGATTGAGGGACCTCAGTAGACATCAACTCCACCAGCTGATCATGTGTGATAGTGTACTTCAGCACTGCACTACTCGCTGCTCCTGCTCACACACAGACACACAGGGGGATATTGTTATCAGTGATGCAGGCTGGCTCATAACCTAGAGTGCTGCCTATCTAGTGGACATCAGCGCGACTGAATATGCTGTTTTGATGCTCACTAGGTTTGAGACAGAATGAATAACGTTATTTTCTCTTACCGTCGCAGTCGAGAGTGATTGTGAAGCGCTGATTCTGTCTGTCGTGAATCACACACAGATTTGAGGCGTCAGTACATGATCCACAACATGTGTGTTTGCGGAGTCGCTGACTGCTCTTATATCCTCGAGTGAACCGAAACATGCAGTTTACAGCATAGACAGTATAAGAAATGGACAGAGCCATCTCATTGGAACTCAGTTGAGACAGTTGAAGCCCATTTTTAGCGATTTTTGAGCACTTCCGTTCCTGACGCGCAGACTCAAACCGACTCAAACTAAGCTTGATGACGTGGGCAACCTGTCTGACAGACGTTAATCTTCTAGTAGCTGTGCGTGAAAACTGCCAACGTTAATCTTGCAGAGACGGGGAACTTGAGCAAAGAGTTCTTTGGCGTGAGTGAGCAGGAGTAAGTATTCCGTTGCTTTTATGGACTCATTATCTATGGGCTTCTCCCTTGACGGGACGTCCCCCCGATTGCCTGCGAGCTTCTCCTCCTGTCTGTACGGTAATTTCTGTACAGCGCGACAGAGAGTCGAGTGGTTATGACGCAATCGTTAGCCTATTTTTACTAAATCTGTTTCTACGGGGCCATAATGTAACATAGAAGGTAATGGAGCCCTTTATACATTGTCGTGTTTCTTTAGAAATAAATAATTGACAAATGGAGTCTTTAAACGCCTCAGATGTAAAGTTATTCGCTGTCAAAGTGACGCCAAAATGAATGGGATTCAATGGAAATGCTAACGCAAGTGAAGTTCTGCTACAACATGGCGGCACCCGGCCGGCTTCAACATCCGGTCGATGGATTACCCCCTTGGTTTACAGACAGTAAGTGTCGCGCCATGATGTGACGTCACCAAACAGTGTGAATTAACAACAACAACAGCAGAGGGCGCTGTGATCATGTTTATTCCTCTCTCACATCTGAGATGGATGGATAGATAAACATTTAGGTGAGATAGTTAATTGAGCAATGTATATGAATAAAATATGCCATCAATAAAGTGATCTCTTCAAAAGAAAGTAGGCTAATGGATAAATAAAAAAAAACACATTAAAAACACACTGCTGTAGCCTATATGGGGGTTGTTCCCCGTGGTATAGAACATTTAATAGAATATTGATACTTTTCAAGCTATCTTACACTAGGGAACTACTTAAAAAAATAATTAAAGGGTGTCGTGACTAAAAGAGTTTGGGAAACAGATAGATAGATAGATAGATAGATAGATAGATAGATAGATAGATAGATAGATAGATAGATAGATAGATAGATAGATAGATAGATTATTAAACACCCACAATCTTGCTGATTTATTTATTCAATTGTCTTCTAACTGTAGCACTACAGCACAGTGACACATTCTCCACTTTTACTCAGTGTTGTCCTTCAGTCCTCAGACATCTCCACAGCTGCAGTGTTTCTGACTCCTGCTGCCATGATGGAGAAGAACAGGTTTGGGAAGAGAGATCTGGCATAGAGAGCAGCTTTAGGGATGAAGGAGCGGGACATTAAAATCTCCTTCTTCTTGCTACTCAGAGTCTTCAGGATCTCAGTGGCCATTTCTCCAGCGTTCACACCAAAGGACTTCGCTTTGAGGTCTGCAGTTTCCAGTCAGTGTCCAAGCAGAAGGTCCAGGGGAATATAGTGGACAACACAAACACACAAGGAAGATGTTATGAGCTACAAACCGTGATCTTTACATTATGAACTGACGGGGACAGTCACTCACGTGTCCACATGGGTTTTGCTGCGTCCTCGTCCTTTGAGTTTGTGTCTGGAGTTTTTATGAAGGTGTGGTTGACGGTGCTGACGGTTATCCCATATTCCTGAACCTCAGCCCGCAGACACTCAAAGAAAGCCTGAACGGCATGCTTGGACGCCGCATCTGAACAATGCAGAACATCTTACACTGACAAAGATATCTAAATATTCAACATATGCATTGATTTATTACTGCTGATTAACTGTATGAACATTAAAGGAATAGTTCACCCAAAAGTAAAACTCTTTCTGTCATTTCAAACTCATATGCTGTTGTGTTTTCCGTAGAGCAGTTTATTTCAATGATCTTTAAGCTGGAAAAGAGCTGCATGAACATTCTTCAAACTTTCTCCTGATGTGTTTCATTCAGAAAATAACTGCATGCCTGTTTGGAGCGAGATGAATGTGAGTAAATGATGACAGAATTGATCTCTTTAAAACTCACAGGAGGCGCGGAAGGGCACCGTCAGTTTCCCCTGAATGCTGTTGACTAGAAGAATGTGACCCGTTCTTCTGGAGATCAGCGACTGAAGAACACCTGTGACCGTGAATAAGATCAGTTTAAAGGGATACTCCACTTTTTTTGGAAATAGGCTCATTTTACAACTCCCCCAGAGTTAAACTGTTGAGTTTTACTGTTTTTGAATCCATTCAGCCGATCTCCGGTTCTGGCGGTACCACTTTTAGCATAGCTTAGCATACATCATTGAAGTGGACAAAACCATTAGCATTTCTCAACAAAAAAAAATTACCAAAGAGTTTTGATATTTTTCCTATTTAAAACTTGACTCTTCTGTAGTTACATCGTGCACTAAGACCGACGGAAAATGTAAAGTTGCGATTTTCTAGGCTGATATGGCTAGGAACTATACTCTCATTCCTGCGTAATAATCAAGAAACTTCACTGCCGTACCATGAGAGCAGCAGGCGTAATGATATGACGCAGCGCCTGAAAATAGTCCCCAAAAGCTCATCTTCAGTGTATTCCGGTTCAAATAGATACGGTTCGGGATCTGAACCAAAGTACATGTCCTCTGAATCGTCTCTCACAAATGTCTCCATGCTACAAGGAACGCTCCCTGTGCAAGCAGGTTGTCACGTTGGTTATGTTGACGGAAGGTAGCCTATTTTCAGGCGCTGCGTCATATCATTACGCCTGCTGCACTCATGGTACGGCAGTAAAGTTTCTTGATTATTACGCAGGAATGAGAGAATAGTTCCTAGCCATATCAGCCTAGAAAATCGCAACTTTACATTTTCCGTCGGTCTTAGTGCACGATGTAACTACAGAAGAGTCAAGTTTTAAATAGGAAAAACATCTAAACACTTTGTTAATTTTTTTTGAGAAATGCTAATGGTCTTGTCCACTTCAATGATGTATGCTAAGCTATGCTAAAAGTGGTACCGCCAGAACCGGAGATCGGCTGAATGGATTCAAAAACGGTAAAACTCAACAGTTTAACTCTGGGGGAGTTGTAAAATGAGCCTATTTCCAAAAAAAGTGGAGTATCCCTTTAAAATGCTTGAACACAACTGAGAGTTATTGTTGACAGCTGTGTGGGAGTTACATGTTACCCTTAACCAGTGTGACCGGCCCAAAGTAGTTGACGTCCATGACAATCCTGTCCATCTGGAGGGACAGACTGTGTACAGGAGCCTTCACCTTCATGCTGGTGTTGAAGACGAGGACATCCAGACAGCCGTAACACTCCAAGATCTCAGAGACGATCTCAGGAACGCTCTCCATGTTACTGAAGTCCAGCTCCACCAGTTTGGGTGGAAACGTCTAAGCAGTAAAGTTGAATTGAACCAAGTCACCCCGCATATTACAACCAGTCTTAACAAAAATATGTCTGAATATTTCAGACAAAGTTCTTTTATATGGTTAATGATAATTCTGCACTCACAAGTGTTGGATCTGATTCACTCATCAGATGCTCAGCAAAAGTCTCCAACTTTCCCCAGTTATTTCCACAAAGGATCAGTCTGGCTCCACCAGTATGGAAGAGTTTTGCACATTCTAAAATGACCACAATGTAAAAAAAAAACTAAAAAAAACTGTTCAACCGATCAATATGCAATTCATCTGCACACATATATCATCATGGTTCATCGCTCTATCATTCCTAACATGCAGTACATTTTCATGTCTTCAATATATATGTCACTCACAATATACTGGATAACATATCCCACCATTTTTTCAAAGATAAAATTATAAATCGTACGAGTTTTCAATTATCACATTGTGTTAATATTAAATTGTTTCTATACTTTTGTTTGAGCTGAGCTTGATGCCTTTTTTACCTTGCTATTTTTGTTTTAATTGAAATTAATTTATACATTTTTCTTATATATGTCCTCAACATTTCCCATCCTGTTATTCTTCGTCACGGTTTGAGTCTGTTTCTGTTTCATTTTGGTCACATGTTCATTTCAGTTTCCTGTGTTCATTTCCTCATTTGTTGTCATGGTGTTGTCAAGAAACACCTGATTCTTGTTCAGTGCGTTATTAGCCTGTGTCTGTTTATATGCCCTCAGTTTGTTAGTCTTTGTTCGGTATTGACTTAACATAGGATAAAGCTGTTTCTTTGTTGTTTGTTTTCCTCTCCCAGTTTGATTCCCTTTTATTTGTTTTCCTAGTGAAGAAAAGTGATTTGCTTGTTAAAAGCGATCCACCTCCTCTCCTCCTCAACCACAGCAACAAAAGTGTGACAGAAACCGAACCTGTCAATATGGGCATGGATCGCTACCCAGCACCTTACTTCCATACAAATGACTCATTAATGGATTTAATCCAGGTAGGTTGTCCTCTGGAACAGCATGTGGAGGAACTCATGAACATGTGCCATCATGTACCCTAGAACGACGACACACTCAAGAGCTGTTTTTGGAGTGGGCTTGACGACTACCTCCTGATGATGATGCCGTGGGAGTCGGGGGAAGTCCAGCTGTTCATTACAGCAGTATAATGACTACGTGCTAGGGATCCATGACCAGTGGGGTGTTTGAAGACAAAGCCAATACCATCACTTCCTTGCAAACTCCTCATATTCCAGGGTCTGTCCAGCCAGAGGATGTCCCCACACTCCAATTCCTCCAAGAACAAAGAGTCTGAGCCAACAACAGAGCTGATGCCTTCTGCGAATCCAGTGGAAGAAGTCATTGTACCGTGTCTAGAGCCAGATGCCATTTTCACCATAGAGTTTGAGCCTCCCAGCTTGAGGAGCTAGAGCCGGTCGCAACATCCATCGCGGAGGGAGTCCTGTTCGATTTGGACCGCCAGGCGGAGGGTTTCCCAGCTGTAAGTTCTGAAATGTGTTTGTCGTCGTCCAGTCTAATTGACCAATTCCACCACCTTATTCCACCCAGCTGTCAAGCTCCTTCGTCTCCACTGGTTCTGCCTGGCTTCCAGGTTCTTTTGTCTACACTGGTTCAGCCTGGCTGCCCAGCTCCTTAGTCCCTGTCGGCTACAGCTAGTATCCTGGTCCCACCCCCTCCACTCATTCCATTCTGTTTCATGGCCCACCTTCTCCTCTGGTGCCATCTGGTTTAAATGGTACCTTTCTTTGTCCTTTGGCCATCCAGCTCCTCAGTTCCTTCCTCCTCCTACCTAGCTACCAGATCTTCCTTGTTCCTCAGATCACTCAGCTTCAGCTTGGTCTTCTGGGCTAAAGACTTTGCCTTGGGCCATCGATTTATCAACGCTATTTGCTTCTAGATCTGCTGTACAGCCCAAAAAAAATATGTAGCATTATTTTCCTGTTAGCACTGTAAAGCTGCTTTGAAACAACTTGTATTGTAAAAAGTACTATATAAATAAAGGTGACTTGAATTGATTTGACTCCACTGTGGCTACTCATTCTCTCAGCTCCACCATGGCTTGCCATCCCAGCGCCTCGGTTCATTGTCCCACCGGCTCCACCATTGACTCCCGGACCTGTGGCTGTAACTGAGTCCACCAGCCCTGTGGCTTCACCAAGCTCCTCCATCATTCTGTTGTCATCATTGTCCTTGCTCCCATTGTCCGTGCTGCCTCGTCTTCCCTGGTCTTCCCAACACCCAGCTCCACCTTGGTCCTTGGATCCCCTAGCTCCACCTTAGACATCTGGTCCTGTGGCGTCACCCTGTCCTTCCATCCCTTTGGCTTCACTAGATTCACCAGCTTCCCTGACTCTGCCTTAGTCGCCCTCCGGCCCCAGCTCCTCCCTGGTCCTCATTATCAAAAGCTCTGCCATGGGTGCCATCCCTATGGCATCATCAGAAGATATAAGCCCGTCGGACCCTCTGTGGTCTGGGTTGGTGGAAATATCAAAGTCAGAGTCTGTTTCTGCTTCACTTTGGTCTGTTAGTTTCTCTTCCGTGTTTGTCACATGTTCATTTCAGTTCCTTGTGTTCTTTTCCTCATTTGTTGGTATGGTAACCGATTGTTTTGTGCACCTGTTTCATGTTCAGTATGTTATTAGCTTGTATATATATATATATATATATATATATATATATATATATATATATATATATATATATATTACAATACAGTATATATGCCCCTAGTTTGTTTAGTCTTAATATGGTGTTGTCTTTACTGTAAAGCTGTTTTGTTGTTTGTTTTGCTCTCCCAGTTTTATTCTCTTTCGTTTGTTTTTCTAGCAAATAACAGCGATCTGAAAAATCAAGCTAATCCGCCTCCTCTCCTTTGTCCACTTCCACCAAAAAGAAATTACAGAATTCGGTATGAAAAGATTTCAAAAGATGGTTAAATATCATCATGTACAACTCTCAATCCCTCAATAAGCAATGGCTAACTCTTTATCCTGCTAAATTGTCATGCCAAATTGTAAGTAATAAAGTTAAGATCATATTTCTATATTACACATTTCTGATTTACCCTTTTATAGAACTACTTCCTTAAATTACAATAGAGACATATTCGTTTTAAGGTACTGCATGACAGGAATGATCAGTTGTTCTGAAAAAGTAGCACCATTTCCGAGTGTTGAGAGTGAATCCGTAATCAGCACCACTTTGTTCCTCACAGTTGTCTTGGCTAAATGCCTGAGTATCAGACTGTAGAGATAAAAGACACCAGCTGCGACGACCACCACCACTGAGAGCACAGGCCAAACTGAGGTCACATCCAGCCTCTGAAAGAGACAAATTAATGCAAATGAATTATTATTGTGTACAAGAATTATTCCATCAAAATTAAAAATATTTTAACATTTGCTCACTCTAACCTAATTTCAAACCAGTATTACTTCTTTTCTGCAAAACACATTATAATATACAGTTTCGATGACTGTTTTGAAGAACGTCCTGTAATGGGAATCCACTGCAACCAGGGTCTCAAAAGCTCGAAAATGGTAAAAAAAAACACCACCATTTGACATGCATTCTGTATTTTGTGTTCAACAGAAGAAAGAAAGTCATTCAGGTCTTACACTTCAAATACATTTGCTTTAATGCTTTAAAAATAAAACATAATTTCTTACCATAATATCACTTATACCCATGGTGTTTCAGTAATGTTATAGGCCTTAAATAAAGGAAAAAGAATATACATTAATAAGAATTAAAGCCATTTATAAAGTCATGGATTGACTTCAATTTTATATCAAACTCTCTGAATCTTATTTTAGACAACCATGTCTATAACAGGACAAAGTATAATATATGAAACAGGATTATATTTGAATTTACTGCATTTTGCCTTTGTTGATCAGTAATGTAGTAATAGTTCTATTATATTTGGGCTTAAAATAAGAGTAGTTTATTTATATATTGCTAAAAAGCACACGCCTCTGTTAGATATTTGTGACAGTCTATACATTGCTTTATATTAAACAATACCAGTAGTAAAGTCACAAAGTGAAACTCTCTAAAGTCTATCATGGAAGCTCTGTGTTCAGAGAAAAAGCTCTAAATATATTCCAGAATTAGCCAAGAATTCCCAGCCTACATTTGGATTACGGCAGGACTGACTAAGAAACAACAACAAAATAAAAATCATTTGGTATTGACAATATTTTTGGTCATTATTAACAGCACTGAGGTGACATGTTTTGAACACAGAACATCAAACCAGCACAACAGGACACAGTCAACAGAGCTCATATTGTTCTTCATCACTTACCACTAAAACGAGTCTTTAACCGTGTTCTTTAGGATTATATGAATCAGTGTTAGTGATCGTCAGCTCACTTGCACAGCTCTAAACACACACTGCAGGGTCTGAGTGCTTTTAATAGCCCACAGCTGAAGCTGTCGTATGTTGTATATAGCAGCGTGGGAAACTGTTGTTAAGTTTAGAAGTAAAGCTTTAAATGGGAGTCTTTGAACTGAGACGGGTGTTAATGTTTGATTATTCTTCCTCAGAAAAGTGAAATTCACCATGATTTCAGAACAAAACTGAGCAATTAATTATCCAGGGTATGTGCAAAGGCTTAAAGTCCCATATAAGTCGAACTAATAATAATTTGGAAAACAACTGGAAGAAAATCTCAAATCTGATGTGTTTGCATTTCTACAGATCAGATCAGACTGAGACACCAGTAACCAGTTTAAAGTCTCTATTTCTCTCTCTGAGGAATCTAGTTGTTCTTAATCCTAAAATCACTGGTGGGAAAAGTGTAGCAGTCAACTTTGATCATATTTGTTAATATGTGCATATAAGAAAATCAATGCAATGATTCATATGCTATGCTTTACAATATTAGTTACTGACAAAACATGCAGAATTATAACAAGCTATTTTTGGAAAATTAGAACTCTAATATTATGGTGAAATACTAAATATTCCAACCTGAGTTTCTAAAGGAACAACTTGTGAACATTGGTTATTCAGTGTTTGGAAAATTACACTTAGCCAAAAATAAATACTGTAGTAATGTTAATAAATTGTATGTAGCCTACACATTTTTCTCCAGCCAATCTTTAATTTAACTAAATGTTTCATACACCATTATTTAAAATTGCTCCAAATTAAATATTGATGATTTCAGAAATGTTGCTTTAAATAAATTGCTGTATAAAAGTAGAAAAAAAAAATCTATATCACAAATGGCAGCTCACATTATTTAGAGCAAAAATGTCCCCAAGTCAGGGAAATTCCAGAATGAAGTTGATTGCTGTGTCTGTGTGATTCAGATGATCTTTAAAGCATGCTATTAGTCAAAGATGATCCTGAACTCACTATAAAGATTCAACAGGCTTTACCTCTCAAGGTCAAGTCTTTTTGCAACCACAACTTAAATATTTTTAAAGGCTTCTATTTGGGGTTGTCATTTACACGTTTATTTCTGGCTATAATTATGCCTTAATATTTAACCTGAGATTAATCTTGAAGCAGAAGGTGTTATGTTCACTTTGACAGTAATTAGCTGAAACAATTAGCTTTTTTTATTTGTTTATTTGAGGCCTAAAAAAGCTTTAGCCTAGAAAACATTCTTAAATGACATACTCTACATAATATTAAATATTTTCCTAAGGGTAGAGGGAGTGATTTCGGACACAGCCTCTGTTATTGTAATTCAACACATAGACATGTATTTATTATGTGGTTCAACAGTTAATAATGATTGTTCCTTCCTGCTTGAAAGGGTAACAAAAGTGTGGACCAATTAGAAGACGCGTACCCGGCTGCATCTGTAACTGACAGCAGTGTCAGCCAATTAGAATAACCGCAACGCACGCCCACAGTGCTAAGCCCCGCCCACCGGCCAGACCTGCAGTGTAGCTTCCCTGTCCGTTATCAAATATAGGACTGATTTCCTAAACAAACGTTTTCAGCACATGTTGACATCGCGTCACCGTTATCAGATGAAAGAGCGGATCACTATAGTGGTCAGTGCCTGTGTTTATGAGCTGAGACTCACATGAGAGCCTGATCCGTCACATCTGATCATGTCTGATTTCGAGGAGTTCGAGAAACAGCTGAGCGAGAATCGGCAAGGTAGAGTAAAGACATCTGCAGTGTTCATGTGTGTGTGTGCTCTGCTGTTAAACAGCAGCTGCCTGTGCCTGGACATAACTGCATAACATAAACATCAACAATGACTGTGATGATGAATGATAAATAAACGATGTGTATTTTATGAACACCACAGAAATTACTGTAACTATTTTATTTTTAGTTTCAATGTATCATTTTTCAAGTTTTTGCAATGTTGCCATCTGTCAATCACACATGCAACTAAATGTACATGTTGCGTTTCTTCATAAGAACACATGCATGTAATTATTGCAGAATGTATTTTAAATGATACATATATTTATAATATTTGACACAGATATAGTTACACTATATTGGCCCCAAAAGTATTTGGACACCTTTGAACACATAACCAATGATTAAAATATAAATATATGAATTTCATAGATAACATAATATCAAAGCAAGTGTCATCTGTGATCTTTTTTCTTCATTTACTGACCATTTTTTGCTCAATCCCTATTAATCAGCTGGTGTTTTGGTGATTTTTAGTGCCTGTCTGACGTCCAGCAGAGGAACCACAGGTGTAGAGAATCAAAACTATCAACATTATCCACTATCCACTAACATTTCACAAAGTTGTTCTTATAACATAATTCTTAGTCATATTCAGTATATATTCAATACATCATTGAAAACCTAACAAACTATAAGCACTGTTATTACAAGACTGGGTTAATACTTTGTGTGTGTGTGTGTGTGTGTGTGTGTGTGTGTGTGTGTGTGTGTGTGTGTGTGTGTGTGTGTGTGTGTGTGTGTGTGTGTGTGCTCGCTTATAAATATCCTAATGTTACAGTTTCATCTATGAGTTATTTACACTGGCTTATATGGGTGTAACAATATACTGTCTCACAATATATCACAATAAAAATATGCAACACTGTATATCATGTATAGTTCAAGTTTACATCAGATATGTGTCACATGTGGCAAACCCACAAGGTCACACCTTTGAGCTTCCATGTTATTATTATTGATAAATTAAAAATAAAACACACTATTTAATAAAATACTACATTTAAAACTTTTTAAATGTATGCAGTCAGGGACAGAGTTCAAGCATATGTGTCTACATGATACTTTATTTTTAGCTAAGTGAATTATGAATATTTATATTCTGGTGTCACTATTGATCTGTGCATTGGGGGAGAAGAACAAGTCCAAACCTATTCAGGTCTATGACTGTTATAATATCAAATGTAGCTTTTAATATACAGCATATGTTAGAAGTAATAATTACCGTTTTAACTCTCTTTTGGCTTTGCTGAAAGCGTAGTGAGATCAGTATCATGTTTTGAACCGAAGTGTATTGTTAGTGGCGTTTATGTACACAGTGACATCTGATATGACATATATATGATACTGAGCTGCTTGCATAATATCCAGTCAAGTATAATGACTGTAGGCCTTGCAAATGTGTATACAAAACAGATTCCTTCTGCAATTCCTTCATAAATAGGTGTGTTCTTTCTTGTGATTAAATGTGTGTGGTTTGACAGATGGCAACAAATGCAAATTCTTTATTAAATACTTGTAAACAAAATATCATACTTGAGTTCTTTTTAATTAGGTTGTGCTAGAATACGTTTTCATGCTTGAACGTTCAAAAACACGTTATTTTTCACATATTTGACATTGTTGCAGCTCCTCTCTTTCCAGTCTGTCAGTAACGCTCGGACTGTGTCTGAAATCGCCTCCTAAACCCTCATTCACTATTGCCTACATTACTCCACTAATATAGTCCACTTGAAGGAGTGTGAATGAAAACGAGTGAGTGAATTCGGACACCGGGTGCTGGAAGAGTAGCTGCTTTTGCATAGTTTGAGCTTGCTGTTTAATAATCATTTGAAACTAAGCAAACTGGCAGCTCCGATAGTAATGAAAAGATTTATCTTGAACTCTGTCATGGAAACTAGTATCAACCTTAATTAAACCATTTAAATAACAATTAATAATAGTGATTTTATACCTGTATGATATTATGCTTCACCCACATTGGACCAGCGGTTTGGAAAATGGATGGATGTATGATTCAGTTGCAGGCGCCATCTTCTGGTCAGGCGGGGGAATTCATTTGGCACGACCCTCACAATGCATTATGGGTATTCAATAGCTATTGAGTGTACATCAGTTGTACACTAGTTGCGGGATTGAATGAGTGCACTCGATAACATCCACTATGGTTTCGGACACCAAATAGCGGTCCCCTTAAATAGTGCCCTATTTGAGGTTATAGGTGGCGATTTCGGACAACGGTGCTCTGATTGGTCAACTGGATCAGTGTGCTGTGATTGGTCAAACGCTTTGAGCGTGTTTGGGAAATGCCCTGGCGCTTACCATAGCTGCTACACTGTAAAAAAAAATATGCCTCTCCAACATAAACATTTCTAGTGACCCGTTGCACCTACCCCTGCATGTAGACTGAACTTGAAATGGAATGTTGTGTCAATTAAATATTTTCTGTTGACTAAACATAGCTTGTTGGGTTCGGCCAACTAAAGTTAAGTTTTCTCAACTACATCCAATAAGTTCAGCCAACTAAAGTGGTGTTTTGAAAATCAAATTTTTAAGCCACCATTATGGTGATCAGGGATTGCTTTAGTTGGGCTCGTGACCCTTAAACTGTTAACATTAAATTTTGTTTAGCAGTTGTATCTGAGTTATAACTGCCAGATGATCAAAGAGAAAAGGTGATCTGACGGTGTTGGCAATGTTCTGACATAATCATCACTTGACTTGCATCACAAAACTCATTTAGAGCCTAATCTCTGATTTTAAATGTATAATGTTGTAGGGCTGGGCGATATATTGCTATGCGCATCTCTTCAGTAAAGCCGGTTCCTTGATTAGTAGTAAATCGCCTTCACCTGCTTTCAGATGGAAGATATGATGCAGATATGAGTGTTAAATTAACACTCAAGAGTGTTAAAGTTAATGAGATAATTAAGTGATTAATTTAGTGATGATTGAGCATTATTGAAGACACCTGATGTTAACAAGCAGAATCACTGAAGGAGAAAATCACAAATTGTAAGCCACCGTTATGGCGATCAGTGTTTGCTTTAGTTGGGCTCTTGATCCTTATACTTACTTGACTTAAATTTTGTTTGTCTGCTGTTATTGATTTATAACAGTTAAATGAACAAAGAAAAGTGTGATCTGATTGTGTTGTTTATGTTTAGGCATAATCACGCTGTGATCTGAAAAATGAAGCTTTTTGAAGTAGTTTGGTTTATCTTGTTAGTAACAGTTTTGTGATTCTACAGCATATGATTATCAGTATTTTTCTTATAATCCAAAATTTTTCATAAACATCATTCTTATAATAACACTTTCAAAAGAATTTATTTAGAAACCCGGACATCAATAATCAGCCTGTGAATCTCAACAGTGGTGACAATGATAATGCATGTTGCTGTGGCTGCCACCAATCACAACTCATTAATGACTCCCATCATGCATTGCGGTATGAATAAATTATGATCTGAATTGTCTATGTAATTTACTTTTCCCTAATTTAATATTCTGCTCGTCACCATTGTTGAGATGCATTGACTGAATCTTGACGTCTGTGTGTGCCTAAAAGAATGATAAAAAAAAAAAAAAAAAATTAAGAAATCCTTCAGATTATATCTAAAATTCTGGATATTTATGCAGAATCACAGTTATGCTGTAACCAACAGCATGAATCACAAACATGAAGTTCAAATGATGATTGTCATAATATAACCAACACCATTAGATGTTTTTTTTTTGTTCTTTGTTCAACTGGCAGTTGAACTACTGATACAACAGACAAACTAACTCTAAAGTTAATAATATAAGGGTCACGAGCCCAACTAAAGCAAACAATGATCGCCATAACGGTGGCTTACAATTTTAGATTTTCTACTTCAGTGATTCTGCTTTAGGTGTCTTCAATAATGCTCAATCATCACTCAATTAATCACTTAATTATCTCATTAACTTTAATACTCTTGAGTGTGGACTCATATACACTCCCAGGAGTGTTAATTTAACACTGGAGTTTTTGCTGTGTACAAAGAGCCGTAGTTAACTGACAAGCTGAGCCATATCGCATTAAATATCGCTGGCGATACGTCCGCGATATTAATGCGATATGGCTCAGCTTGTCAGTTAACTACGGCTCTTTGTAGTAAATGCCGCTCCATCTGAACGCAGGTGAAGGCGATTTACTACTAATCAAGGAACCGGCTTTACTGACGAGATGCGCATAACAATCGCATGCGATATATCGCCCAGCCCTATAATGTTGATTACAACATCACAGTGATTCTACAGTACGAAATCTAGAAATTTCTAAACAATCCAAAGGATTTCTTAAAAGTTGTTCTAATAAAAATAAAAAAAAAATTTTTTTTAGGCACAGACATAAAGAATCAGTGTATTAATCTCAACAATGGTGACAAACAGAATATTCAATTAGGAAAAGGATATTACTAAGACATTTCAGATCATAATTTATTCATACCACAATGCATGATGGGAGCCATGAATGAGTTTTGATTGGTGGCACCCAAAATGCAGTGCAACATGCTTTATTATTGTCACCATTGTTGAGATTCACAGGCTGATTATTGATGTCAGTGTGTTAAAAAAAAAAATTCAGAGGGTTTTGATCAGAAAAACTTTTAAGAAATATTTTGGACTATACTGAAAATGCTGAAAATCGTTTGCTAGTGATGATTATGTCAAAATATAACCAACACCATCGGAATCATCTTTTCTCTTTGATCATCTGGCAGTTATAACTCAGATACAACTGGCAAACAAAATCTAATGTTAACAGTTTAAGGGTCAAGAGCCCAACTAAAGCAAACGCTGATCACCATAATGGTGACGTAAATTCGATTTTCTTTAGTTGGCTGAACTTATTAGCCTGGTTCTACCAGACTCTCGTACATTTCATTTGTACAGAGAGTCTGGCCTCGCTCCATTGAGAAACGTTTACTTCCTTGTAGGCGGGTTCTCTGTTAAAGTTCAAAACTATTGGATCTGCCCAGCGTCACTCAGGATCTGCCATAGCCAATCGCTAACGTGTGGTCGTGACGTATGTCATGCGCCGAAACCGGCTGGAAACAACAAGTCCGAATTCCATATTCATAAATCTAAATATCTAAATGCTAAACCTCTCTTTCTTATATTTGTGAAAGAATTTTAAAAATACCTCTTTTCAATTAAGTTGTCTGAGAACAAAAAAAGCCTTAAAAACATTATCTGTTTGTAATTATTTTCCTTTTTTCAGTGTCATGTAATTCTCTTAACTTGTTCATGTTTATTTTATATTATCCCCCTACTGTTTTATTTTTGTTTTGTTTTTATTATTATTTTTTGTTTGTTTTTGTATTATGTTTTCTGTTATTACTTGTGTATTGTTTTAAGCAATAAAAAAAAACAAGTCCGAATGATCAGAGGATTATGTTTAGAATAAGATGTCTGTCAACGAGAGCTGCATGTTTTGTTCATCGAATTTAAGAGTTCAAGGAACAATTCTAAATTCTAAATGTATATTTGACACTAAGGACAGTGATGTATTCAGTCAACTGTCGAAGCTGGGTGTAATCATTAACAATACGCCACTGCGGCCGTTTCGGATCTGCCGCAAATGCTGTACAGTGATCATCGTGCACGCCGAGCTGCCCAGCACCAACTCCTAACCTTTCTGCCTCCCTCACTTGGTCCTCCATTAGTGCAACAAGAGGAGACGACAACAACTATCGGCTTTGCATCCCTATCGTTCGCCTTAGCTAACTCATTCACCACTAGCGGAGTGAGCTGGAAAATTAAACTTTTCCCGAACCCCGTGGGGAGGAGGGCCACAACATCATGGCCACCAACAACACTTAGCAAACATTGATCTTGCTCCGGCTTTAACTTCTGGATATTCGGCAGTTTTGCAACAACGGACCGAATAGATTTTCTCACGTCTTTCTCCGCTGCCATTACTGAACTCCAACTCAAACTGACGCGCTACATCAACGTCATCGTTCTCAGCCACTCCCTCTGTTCGCTGATTGGACCGGTAAAAAAATTATTTCTGGAAACCAAAGTCTACAGCACAATCCCAGACGTAGTACTGAAGGAAAATAAAATTGAGCGGAAGTGCGTAGGAGGGCGGAGCCAGGCTATGAACTTATTGGATGTAGTTTAGAAAACGTAACTTTAGTTGGCCGAACCCAACAAGCTATGTTTAGTCAACAGAAAATATTTAATTGACACAACATTCTATTTCAAGTTCAGTCTACATGCAGGTGTAGTCAGCACAACACAAAAAAGTTGGTTTCCGCAACTTCAATTGGGCCACCTAAAAATTTTAGGTGCAACGGGTCACTAGAAATGTTTATGTTGGAGAGGCATATTTTTTTTTACAGTGTAGTTTCAACACACTACTAACTAACTTAACCAGGCCCCGCCCCTTTATTTAGCGTATGCCTTGGGCGGAAATTATTTAAATGAGCAATATTGTGACGTGTTCGTTCCTGGATGAAAACTCAAGACTACAACGGAGGTGTTTCAGGGAGTTTGGAAACAGTGACTTCTGCTTAGAAATGAAACAGAAATATTTTAGATTACAGTGTATTTTCACTTTTAAAGACATGATATTTTCATTAATATGTAACATTATTCATGCAGAGAGAGAGAGGGAGAGGCATAAGAGGAGGAGTCGCAGTCGGTCTCCTGGTCGCAGCAAGAAACGGTGCAGCAAAGACAGAAGCAGTCGCAGCCGAGGGAAGCGCAGTCGCAGTCGAGACCGGAAGAGCCGGGACCACCGGAGCTGCTCACGGGACCAGAAGAAACACAGGTGCCACTCAACACCAGCCGGATACTGTCCATCAGAACCAACACCAGACTTGTTTATTCTTGCACCCTTACTGTTTCTGTTGTCTGTAAAACTATAAAAGCAGTGTTGTCTTCTAAGTTGACATCACAACAGAGTTGATTAAGTTTACGGCATCTTCCCCATCTACTCTGATTTTTTTCCCTCAGCTATTCTCCACGCAGAACAAGGAAGAAAAAGATGTGCAAGTATTGGGATGTTCCTCCTTCCGGCTTTGAGCACATCACTCCAATGCAGTACAAAGCCATGCAAGGTGCGGCATGAGTAATCAAAGATCACGATAACAGTAAATGCCACGATCACCGTTCCCTATGCACTTCTGATGTTGCATAACATCATAAGAGAGGAAACAAAACAGAGGAAATAAAATGCTGCAAATTGTGTGGAGAAAGACATTCACTATTGTAGCTCGAACTTAAAATAACTCAGTTAAAATAGAGATAGATAAGGGATGATTTTGCCTAGGTGGCCAAAAAATCTATCATGATACGCTTGTTTTTGCTGAAAATTGATTGATATAATGGTTTCTGTATTAAACATTAAAAACATTCAAATAATGTTTTACTGACACCTTTCAGAGTGGATGCTATGCTACACCTGTTCAAGTTGTTAATGCAAATATCTAAGGGCTGGCCTGAGTATTTCAGAAACTGATGATCTACTGAGATCTACATGCATTTTAGTCTAGGACTAGTTTAAGCCTTGTCTGTGAAACCGGACATAAATGTTCAGATGTGCCACATTAAATCTGTTGTAAAAGAGTTGATAGACTAAGAGTTTTTGTTGAAGTTATTATTTTGTGAGAAACACTCAACTCTCATCCATTTAACATTTGAAAGGATTTTTTATTTTTTTTTCATTTTGGTGTTTTACATCACACCATGTTTTCAACTGAAATAATTCGATTTTTGTCTGAGCTGTGCTTTAATTGGTTGTGTTGTAATGTAGCTGCTGGGCAGATCCCCAGCATTGCCCTGCTGGCTACATCCACTAATGCTGGTTTGGCAGTCGCACCCACACAAGTGCCCGCCGTTGGCAGCCAGATGACCAGGCAAGCACGACGCCTGTATGTTGGCAACATCCCGTTTGGCATCACTGAGGTAAGTGTCCCAGAATAGTGTCCCTCAAAACATTTTCTTTGTACAGGTCAGTTCTCGTCCTCTTGTGCAGTGATGAATCAGCCATTTAATTTGAAAGTTACAGATGAAAAGTTATTTCTAGAAATGAGAGTTAAAGTTTGTTTTGATGTAAAGAGTTGTGTCAAGTGTTCCTCTATGTACTTGTTTTTTTTTTTTTATAAAGAAAGACATTACTCTGGTAAAGTCCTGCTATTATCTTTGTCTCTCAGGAGTCCATGGCTGAATTCTTCAATACCCAGATGAGACTCGCAGGACTGTCTCAAGCTCCCAGCAATCCTGTGCTCGCAGTGCAGATCAACCAGGACAAGAACTTTGCTTTCTTAGAGGTGAGACTACAGATGTCACTCAGTTAAGTAGTCAGACAGAAAATAGACTGCACCCGTTTAAATGTATAACAGACAAATGATAAAGAATATAGGACTACATTTGTAAAGACAATAATAATGTGTTAATATTAGTAAAGTTACTTGAATTTTGAACGTAATTTGGTCCATAGGAGTCAATAATTAAAAGTTTTAATAGCAAAACTTAGCAAGCAAACAAATGTAATCCATAGGCCTAATGCCATACAAATATCTTTCCATATTGTTGTTCTAGGCATTTCAATATTGCTCATTTTTCAAACACATGATGACATCTGAAGACAACCAAAGCTTTACGAAATCTACTGAAATGACGTTCAAAGCACCAGTGAAGGGTGTGTTCACACTTGGCAGGTTTGGTTTGATTTAAACAAACTCTGGTGTGACTGCTCTGTAAGTGCGGTTCAAGTGTGAACGCTGCCATCCGAACAAGCGGACCAAGATCTAACTTTTAAGAATGTGTCAGTCCACTTACAAACAGTCTCTGGTGCGGTTCGACTGAAATATGAATATAACATTGACCAAAGACATCTAAACGAACCAAAAACTAAACGTGATTTCACGATGCGACTCTAAAAAGGACAGAATGCTTAAAGGATAATTCCGGTATTTAACACTTTGAGTCTATTTTCTAGTTTGTTTTGGATGAACTAGAGTGGTGGACTTAGAAATGTTGACGATGGGTCCTGTCTCGACTTTTTGACTATTTTAGAATCGCCTCTGAGTGCTTCAGAGTGGCTGTCTATGGGCATGCTCAAACATGTCCTTAAAACAACCCTTAACGTTCGTTTTCAAAACTGTGCAACTCACCGAGTGGTTAGTGGTGTTCGTTGATGTTCCAAAAAAAGTAGTGTAGCGAAATACAGTTTCTGTCGTGTTTTATTTGCCATTTTTTTAAATCGCATTGATGTCTGCTGGAGGACTCAGTGCTCGTTGATATTACTGCGCTACCGGAAACGGAAAGGGGTCTGTTTACATTTGGTTGTAGTCTTTCGCTCGGTTCTCCGTCTCTCAGAAGGCAAGCGTGAGCTGAGCAACTGCGGCAAAGTGGTTGTCGCCATCAAGTGGCCGGGAGTGTGCTAATGCTTCAGACTCAAATATCGAGCGGAAGTTTATACGCGGTTGTGAGGTATCTGAAAAAATAGTTCCACTATAGCAAATAACACGGATTGAAAGCATACATTGCGCCGATATATTTGTTTTTAATCATCAACGAACACCACTAACCACTCGGTGAGTTGCACAGTTTTGAAAACGAACGTTAAGGGTTGTTTTAAGGACATGTTTGAGCATGCCCATAGACAGCCACTCTTAAGCGCTCAGAGGCGATTCTAAAATAGTCAAAAAGTCGAGACAGGACCCATCGTCAACATTTCTAAGTCCACCACTCTAGTTCATCCAAAACAAACTAGAAAATAGACTCAAAGTGTTAAATACCGGAATTATCCTTTAAGCATACCTGGGGTACTTCTAAAACTCTACTTAAATGGATGTATTAGAAGTTTCTGGATGAATGAGATCAGTGAATCAGGTCATTACATGATGATTACATCATTATCAAAACTTAACCATCATGACCTGATCTTATTTTCTCTTGCATTGCTTTATAAATACAAAGTTGCAGCAGCCAAGAGAAAATCTAATGTTAAAAAGTCAAGGGTCAAGACCCCAACTAAAGCAAACACTCCACAAAAACGTTGGGGATAATAATAAGTGTAATGGCTGGAAGTCAGTTGTAGTTGTGTTTCATCTCTTCTCTTTTTTCTGTTCTTGTTGTTTCCTTTTCCTCAGTGATTCTGCTTGTTGACAGCAGGTGTTCATCATTAACGCTCAATTGTCACTCAATTAATCTCATTAACTCCAGCACTGCTTCAGTGTATTTTAACCCTGCAGTGTGGACCCATATGAACACCGATCAGTGTTTATTTAACACTGGGGATTTTGCTGTATATGTGTCTGTCTTGTGAAAAAACCTGAAGCATTTATAAATTATCCTCCACCTTCACATCTGTCACAATAATTACATTTTTTGTTTTACCCTTGCCGTTCAAATAAACCATACATCTCACATATTTCAACAGGGCATCTTGCTTTTTTATTCCATTGTACGAATAAGATTTCCTTTGATTCCTCTGTCCTCATTGTCTTTCCTTGCAACCGTCCCTCGTCCAAAGGGGGGGTGGAGCTGCGACGCGAGGAAAGGAAGTGAGGATGCACAAATAAGAAATGGCACCCCTGATTTTTCTCGTCATAGACGATATGGCGCTATGTTGACTATTCCAGTTCGGTACAAGCGTCGGAAGCGCATCTCCTTCATTTGTTTGTTTAACCGAGGAATTCCTGCCATTGTTTTGACTCCTTTACACATTTTATAAGCTCTTCACGAGTTGTCAGCTGGTAAAAATACCATCAAATATATGCACATAAAACGAGCATGTTTAGCTCTGCACACAGCATTGTTTTGGATGTTCTCAAAGTTCTGCCATAAAGAATACGTCATTAAATCTGTTTTTTGTTTTGGATCTTTGCATTGAGTGTTAAAAATGATGATGTGAACGTTAAGTGAACCAGGACTGAATGTATCATTTTTGGTCCAGACTAAAAGAACCAAGAGAACCGTGTGTCACCACAAGTGTGAACACAGCACACCCTGAGAGACGTTTTGGTGATTTGGTGATGCACAGGAAAACATTTCCAATAATGATACTGGGTACTCAGAGCTATTCCTGACTGAAGCAGACTGTCAATCTTCCCCAGTTTCGATCAGTGGATGAAACCACTCAGGCCATGGCATTTGATGGCATCATCTTTCAAGGACAGTCGCTGAAGATCAGACGTCCACACGACTACCGCCCTCTTCCCGGTATCTCTGAGCAGCCCGCTTTTCATGTTCCAGGTCAAGACTTTTGCCATGTTTTACCTTTTCATGTGTTTTAGATCAGCAGACTATTAAACATTGTACAACTTTCTACAGGGCTTTTTAAAAATAAAGGGCCAGATTTACTAAACAGGGCGAATTAGCGTGAGACTGCAATCCCATGTAAGCATCGATGGGACTGTAAATTTCTAAAGATGAGTTACTGTCAATTTTGTCCTTGTTTTCAGGTGTTGTTTCCACAGTTGTACCGGACTCCCCTCATAAACTCTTCATTGGAGGTCTACCAAATTATCTCAATGATGATCAGGTACACTTTAACCTTGCTTCTCCATCAATGAATCAGTTATTTGGACCTAAGGTCAGTTGGTTGTGTACACTAGCAAAGAGTATCCCATTTTCTTATTTCCCATTCAAAATTGTGTTTGTCAGAATATATCCAATTCTTATGTGTGGAAATAGTACATATTACTTTTTTGACATGCAGAAAGTCTGTAGCTGAAATCCCTTTAGTGTAACATATCAACCATGACACTTTTAATCTAACTGGTAGATCTTTTTTTTTTTCATTTTTAAGTGTTAAGACTACATTGAAAGAGTGAAATGGATACATGTTGACATTTAGGCTAAGTTCACACTGCAAGCAAATGTGCCCGTTTTTAATTTTCTGCTCAGCTTAAAAATAATAAATAAATATTCATATATAAAACTTAACCAAAAACTTACATTAAAAAATTGAATGAAAATTTGAAAGGCAACCGCCATGGCAACTTAAAATCCTAAAATTACTAAAATGGAAACTGGAATTAAATTAAGTTTTAAAAATGACAAAAACACAGAATAAAATGAATTAAAACGTAACTAAAATTAAACCTGAAAATATAAAAGTAAAAGCTAATTCAAAATATTATTAAATACTATAATATTATAAAATAACACTGAAACAGCATTGTTTTGTTGTCACTAAACTGGCCCTGTAAACTTTGTTAGCAATGATAAATAGGTTTCATCTTGCAAAAATTGCGGCTATGTGTCGTAGCCATTAATGTGTTTGATTATTTGACCCAATCTTCTGACCCATGAAAAGAGCAATTGTTGGTGCAAGGAATATTCCAGTGTTCCCCAAACAGTGTGCCAAATGTCACCTTTTTACCATGCATTTTAATGGCTCAGAATGCAGAAAAATGCTCACAAAATAAGAATTTAATAAATAAATATGGTACAATAAGTGCCTCCACAAATGTAATATTTAACTTATATAATATGTTTTAATTATGTCCAAGTGATTTATTAGTTAAAATTGAAATAATCGCATGAATTCCGACTTGACTGTTCACTCTGATGCAGACAAAATTGTAACTGAATATGTCCACACATATTTTTGCTCTTGTCATCCAAAAACAGATCTGTGTCAAATGAGAGGGATTTGGTCCACATTCAGCTGCAGTGTGAATATAGCTGATTCGATTTTTGATAGGGACCTGTAATTACAGCAAATTTGCAATTAAATGTGCAGGTGAAAATGGAGTAAAGATAGAAGTCACACACCATATTTCATAAGTGCGCTGCAGAAGTTTGTTGTTTCTATTGCAGACACAACCGAGGGGGTTTGGGTAATGGTGCACCTCATTGATCTAATTGGATTTTAGCTAACTAACTAATTTAATCAATTGGAGCTGAATGCACCCTGGTATTTATTTCATTCATATTCTCATATATTTTCTTTCTTGCAGTCACTGTTACTGCTTTGAAACTCACAGCTCTTTCATTTTTTGTTCCCCCACTTTGTCCCCCAGCTAGGGGCCCGTAAGATCGTTAAGTCTGCGCTCATAATTTGTTCAGTAGTTCTGATCTACTGCTGCCATGCCAACATGTAACACAAGGCAAGTAAGACATTCAGTTCCTCACACGGATTCACCTCCTGTCAGCAGGGACCCTCCCCTTGCTGTCCTCTCTTCCTTCACTCTCTCGGAGCGCGAACATCACTAAAGGGTCTTTGGGTAAATGGGTTAGGATTTTGGAGGGCTGTGAATGTGAAATGTTTGGAAAGGTTGAGGGACTCTGCATTGTTCATACAAAACAAACGGGAAAGTGAATCACATTGATGTTAGACCACTTTAGGTCTTCTGTAGGGCTCGTTTTGACTGGTCTGAATGATTTTAAATTTGGAAAAGAAACCTTTTCAGAAACTTTGATTGTTAAAAAAATATTTTAATCATTGCATGCAAAGAAAGGACCTTTCTTTCTTTATGCACATTTCTTACATTATTTTAAAGTGTCCCTATTATGCTTTTTATTATTGTCTTCCAAAAGAAAGAACCGAATCTGAACCGCCTGAAACAAGTCTTCAGTAATTCCAGGCTTACTTCCTGCTCGAACCTACGGTACGTTTGGAGTGTTAGAGATTGGTTCATGTTGACGTCATGTCGAGAAGACGCTGTTTTTTGCGCTGCATAAGCAAATTCACTTTTCATGCTTGTGCTCAAATTGAAACGGTAAAACTGATGCCATTTTTACTGTTCATATCACTATATGTTGTCATTCAAGAGGTATCAAGTGTTGAGGAAGATCCAGAACTGAAATTCAGATGGTTTGGTTTCAATCACAACAGACTGGGTCATCTGACCAATCAGAGCAGAGTAGACCAATCACAACAGACTGAACTATCTGACCAATCAGAGTGGAGTAGACCAATCACAACAGACCAAGTCAACTGACCAATCAGAGCAGAGTAGACCAATCACAACAGACTGGGTCATCTGACCAATCAGAGCAGAGTAGACCAATCCCAACAGACTGGGTCATCTGACCAATCAGAGCAGAGTAGACCAATCACAACAGACTGGCCCATCTGACCAATCAGAGCAGAGTAGACCAATCACAACAGACTGGGCCATCTGACCAATCAGAGCAGAGTAGACCAATCACAACAGACTGGGCCAACTGACCAATCAGAGCAGAGTAGACCAATCACAACAGACTGGGCCAACTGACCAATCAGAGCAGAGTGGACAAATCACAACAGACTGGGCCAACTGACCAATCAGAGCAGAGTGGACCAATCACAACAGACTGGACCATTTGACCAATCAGAGCAGAGTAGACCAATCACAACAGACTGGGCCATCTGACCAATCAGAGCAGAGTAGACCAATCACAACAGACTGGGCTTTCTGACCAATCAGAGCAGAGTAGACCAATCACAACAGACTGGGCCATCTGACCAATCAGAGCAGAGTAGACCAATCACAACAGACTGGGCTTTCTGACCAATCTGAGCAGAGTAGACCAATCACAACAGACTGGACCATTTGACCAATCAGAGCAGAGTAGACCAATCATTCACAACAGACTGGGCCATCTGACCAATCAGAGCAGAGTAGACCAATCACAACAGACTGGGCCATCTGACCAATCAGAGCAGAGTAGACCAATCACAACAGACTGGGCTTTCTGACCAATCAGAGCAGAGTAGACCAATCACAACAGACTGGGCCATCTGACCAATCAGAGCAGAGTAGACCAATCACAACAGACTGGACCATTTGACCAATCAGAGCAGAGTAGACCAATCACAACAGACTGGGCCATCTGACCAATCAGAGCAGAGTAGACCAATCACAACAGACTGGGCCATCTGACCAATCAGAGCAGAGTAGACCAATCACAACAGACTGGGCTTTCTGACCAATCAGAGCAGAGTAGACCAATCACAACAGACTGGGCCATCTGACCAATCAGAGCAGAGTAGACCAATCACAACAGACTGGGCCAACTGACCAATCAGAGCAGAGTGGACCAATCACAACAGACTGGACCATTTGACCAATCAGAGCAGAGTAGACCAATCACAACAGACTGGGCCATCTGACCAATCAGAGCAGAGTAGACCAATCACAACAGACTGGGCCATTTGACCAATCAGAGCAGAGTAGACCAATCACAACAGACTGGGCTTTCTGACCAATCAGAGCAGAGTAGACCAATCACAACAGACTGGGCCATCTGACCAATCAGAGCAGAGTAGACCAATCACAACAGACTGGACCATTTAACCAATCAGAGCAGAGTAGACCAATCACAACAGACTGGGCCAACTGACCAATCAGAGCAGAGTGGACCAATCACAACAGACTGGGTCATCTGACCAATCAGAGCAGAGTATACCAATCACAACAGACTGGGCCATCTGACCAATCAGAGCAGAGTAGACCAATCACAACAGACTGGGCCATCTGACCAATCAGAGCAGAGTAGACCAATCACAACAGACTGGACCATCTGACCAATCAGAGCAGAGTAGACCAATCAGAACAGACTGGGCTTTCTGACCAATCAGAGCAGAGTAGACCAATCACAACAGACTGGGCCATCTGACCAATCAGAGCAGAGTAGACCAATCACAACAGACTGGGCCATCTGACCAATCAGAGCAGAGTAGACCAATCACAACAGACTGGGCTTTCTGACCAATCAGAGCAGACTGTGAAGACACTGTGAAAAAAGAGGTGATGCTAAAATGTATATTATGAGAATTATGATGTTTTATTTTTTACCTTTGATGCATGTAAACCTGACCTCCAAAACAAAATTAGGAATATTTAAAATAGCATAATAGTGGCACTTTTGTATGTGACTGCTTTAAGAAATTGTGCTTTTTATCATAGTCTAAACCAGGAGGTGGCAGTTTTAAGGGGCGCTTACACTAGGCTTTGAGCATGTGAAATTCTCCGGACACTGCAATGGACGACATATGACGTCATACTCTTTTTACATTTTTACAATCCAATTCTTCTATTGGTCACACATCTTCATGTGATACACATTCGAGTTCACCAAGCTTTGAAATGCATCAAAATGCAAAACCTTCACATGAATTTGTTTCTTGGAATGGAAGTCAGTGGAACAAAAAGTGTAGTGTAACCGCCCCTTAAGACTCAGAAACACAACTCTACTTACATTGAATAAATGTATAGCACAAATCATAGTGATGAAAATGATTGCAATACTGAGAAGGGCTGGAGGGAAAACCATTATAATCATACCCTTCTGCATTCAGAAAGTGAAGGGAACATCAAGATAATAATGTTTCTTGTATTACGATGTATTGCAGGAATAGAGCGCAACAGATTACCTTTTTAGTGGCCTTGGTTTCAGAAGTATATTTTCTATTCCTTTTTCCAGAGGAAGAAACTTTTTTTTTTTTTAATAAAGAGTAATGAAGCAAACAGACCAGCTCTATTACAGCCAATGTCAGAAATGAACTTTTCCATTAAGGGCCATTTTTTCCCCCATGTCCCCTGGAAGTGATTTTTATGGAAGCTTATTTCCGCCACAGAAATAAAAATAAAAAAGGTAATTGCGACTTTTTATCTCACAATTCTGACTTTTTTTTCCTCACAATTGCGAGTTTACATCTCGCAATTCTGACTTATTTCTCACAATTGCGAGATATAAAGTCAGAATTGCGTGTTATAAAGTCACAATTGCGAGATATAAAGTCAGAATTGATTGATATAAAGTCGCAATTGCGTGTTATAAAGTCAGAATTGATTGATATAAAGTCGCAATTGCGTGTTATAAAGTCAGAATTGATTGATATAAAGTCGCAATTGCGTGTTATAAAGTCAGAATTGTGGATATAAAGTCGCAATTGCGTGTTATAAAGTCAGAATTGTGTGATATAAAGTCGAAATTGCGTGTTGTAAAGTCAGAATTGTGAGATATAAACTATTCTGAGGGGAAAAAAGTTAGTCTTTTTTCCCCCTTAGAATTGGCCTGATAACTCGCAATTGCGAGTTTATATCTCACAATTCTGAGAAAAGATGTCAGAATTTCGAGATATAAACTCGCAATTATGTGTTATAAAGTCAGAATTGCGAGATGTAAACTCGCAATTGTGAGAAAAAAAGTCAGAATTGTGAGATAAAAAGTCGCAATTCTGTCTTTTTTTCTCGCAATTGCGACTTTATTTCTCATAATTGCGACTTTATATCTCGCAATTGCGACTATTTCTCAGAATTGCGACTTTATATCTCGCAATTGCGACTTTATTTCTCAGAATTGCGACTTTATATCTTGCAATTGCAACTTTATTTCTCAGAATTGCGACTTTATATCTCAGAATTGCGACTTTATATCTCGCAATTGCGACTTTATTTCTCAGAATTGCGACTTTATATCTCGCAATTGCTACTTTATTTCTCACAATTCTGACTTCATATCTCGCCAGGGACGTGCACAGGGGGGTTGCTCAGGTTGCCCGGGCAACTGCCCATATGCCCTTCTCACTCAAGTTGCCCTTCTCACTCAAGTTGCCCTTCCGAGAAAAAAATTAAATCGTACAATGGATGCAGAATTTCACGTAGGCCTAGATAAAAAAAAAAAAAAAAATCGCAAAGCCTCATTCACTTCCATTCGGGCACCGAAAGTGAAAGTCAGTATGAAGGGCAAACGCTGCACGCGACCATAGACTGCACGCGACCGGCGTAGGGCCACGCAAATTACTTAAGGCCACGCCTCCATCTCGTGTCATAGTCATAGCGCGCCGTCAAATGTGTAGCTACAACATCTACGACAAAATGAAGCGAAACTATCCTTCTGGTCACGAAAAGAGGAAGAAGAAAAAAACCATGAGAGTGAATTGCGGGAACAACAATCAGGTAAACTTGTGTTCTCTCCTCTCTAAGTTTGATGTCAGCAAAGTTTGATGTTTTTCGGTCTTGCTAACCTAGCTGGGCAGGCAGTGCATCTCTTGCATCACTTTGTGGCTGACAAAAGTGAGAGTAAAATACAATTATTTATTACGTTTGATTTTGATAAACGACAAAGTGCAACGTTGTTTTTTACTGCAGCTCGGAAAACATAACCGCGTCGCGTGTGTTATCGTGCGTTCATGCGCGTGCACGAAATGAAACTCGCATTTTTCAAGCAGAAATATGTGGAGACCAGACATACTGTACTATACATGCACGTGAATGATGCCACTCCCAATCAAAGTACACATTATAATTTTAAAACAAGACACTGATTATCAAGTCTCAGTGTAGTTACAAACTCTAAACAACTGCACTAATTATGCAAGATAGAAAGCAATGTATTGACAATTTGACATTGATTGACTATTGATTTATAGGCTATATTGAATTTAAAATGTTGATTAGCTGGACATACTGGTCAAAATGGATGCACATCCCTCAGTAAATAATAACCATAAATCAAGAATTGCTTCAACATGCATAATAAAAAAAAAAAAAAAAAAATCATACTGATGCCGAAAATGCCCAGGCTGTAGAAAGAACCAAAGTTAATCCCAAAAGCCAAAGCTCAGGGTTATTATTTATTATTTTCTTTTTATTTATGTTTACGTTAATATTCACTTACTTAATAATATTCACTTATTATCTTAACATTCTATAGAAAATACTCTATTCAATAAATATTGTGTGTTTGAACCTCATTCTGTTCTATATTGTTGTACTTATTATTTGACTGTTTTGTTTAAAGGGGGGAGGATGGGAGTGCTGAAGTGTCAGGTGTGACTGTGGCAATGACAAATGGTTTACATAGCTCACGACATCAGAGGGCCCCTTAGCAGAATTTTGCTTAGGGCCCCAGGGAGGTCAGGATCGGCACTGGGTGTAGCAGTCGATTCTGTTCCTTACCGGAATTCCTGTTCCCTTTACGCAATCATACTACAAATCATGCGTAGTTGCCCAGATGAGCAAAAAGCATTATTGAATGTACGGGAAGCCAAAAGGTTAAAAAAGGATTGTATTTTTTCCGAAATCTAAGCGTTTTATTTTATTTTATTAGAAGCGAGTTTTTCCCCATCTGTCAATTCAATCCAGATTATTTATTTAAAAATAAATAAATAATAATAATAATAATTAAACAATTAAATAATTAAACAATAAACAATAATATGAGGAACTCTTTTTCTCATGTGTATTTTGGTGACATTTAACATATTGTTAATACATTTTGTATACTGTTTACAAAGTTGTATATCATAAACCTGTCATCTTTGACGTTTGCAATCTTTATAAATAATAATAAGACCATAATATGAGGCATTGCGTTTGGAAATAAACACGATCAGATAAGGCAATTTGTATGGGCAAAATTCAACTGAATATATTCCTTCATATAGCCCGTGAGTTTTGGGGGTAGTGTCCTTTTTTCAGGTCAGAGCAACTGCCCCACAAAATTCCTGTGCACGTCCCTGTTCTTGGCCCAAGCCTCTGTTAATTTCTGACCCTGATTACATTAAAACCCAAAAGTGAGTATACAAAAGTATAAGACTGTGTAAATAAGGTCTTTATAAGGGTATGAAGTTCAACCCACGAAGCATCATGTAATCATACAGTTTTATGTTTGAAAAATCATACAACTCATACAGTTTTTGTTTGAAAAATTTCTATTTGTCTTTGAAGACAGTGAATGAGATTTTAACTCCCAGAAGCCACTGTTGCGCTCTATTGGACCTGCCATCTTGTACACCCTCATCTTGGGTTCAATGGACAGGATATGAATAGGATTTGAGCTTTCAGCTGCTGTTGTGTTCACATACCTGTGCGTCCTCCACTGTTGTGCAGGTTAAAGAGCTCCTGACATCATTTGGTCCTCTCAAAGCCTTCAACCTCGTGAAAGACAGTGCCACATCACTGTCCAAAGGCTATGCTTTCTGTGAATACGTGGATATCAGCGCGACTGACCAGGTCAGTCAATTCAGGTTTAAGTACACATCATCTTAGTTTACATTTATCATTATTGGTTAATTCACATACAGTATATTATTGAAAAGTGAAGTCAAGGTAAACCTCATAAAACATGTCAAGGACATATATGGGCTATATTTCATCCCAAATATCAAAGACCGAAATAATTTAGCTAATGATTTGCTTATATCAAGGAAACAGGGACTCTACACTGATGAGCCAAAACATTTTGACCAGTTACAGGTGAAGCAAATATCATTGATCATCTCCTAACAAGGCCACATATTTAGGTCTGGGTAGATTTGATGGTAAGCAAACAATCAGTTCTTGTAATCAACATGTTGGATGCAGCAGGAGAAATGGGCATGCAGGAATAAAGATCTGAGTGACTTTGACAAGGGCCAAATTGTTATGGCAAGGCGATTGAGTCAGAGTATCTCTGACACGGCAAGACTTGTGGGTTGCTCTCGGTCAGCAGTGGTGAGAATTTACCAACAGTGGTCCAAGCAGGGACAAACCACAAATCGTCAACATGGTGTTGGGCGTCCAAAGGCGAGGCTTAAGGGCAACAAAGGCTATCCCGTCTGGTCTGAGCCAACAGAAGGTCTACTGTGGTCACACATAACTTGAAGGATGGTTATGGGGGGAATGTGTCACAACACAGTGCATCTGCTGCGTATGAGACTGCGTAGCCACAGACCAATCAGAGTGCCTATGATGACCCTGTCCATCACCGAAAGTGCCTACAATGGACAATGTTGCCCTGCGGCCTCCAAGTTCCCCATACCTCAATCCAATTGATCATCTGTGAGATGTGCCGGACTAACAAGTTCGATCTATAGCGGCTCCACCTCTGGTCTTGAAGGATCTGCTGCTAAATTGTTGGTGCCAGAAACCGCAGGACACCTTCAGGGGTCTTGTACAGTCCATGCCTTGGCGGGTCGGTGCTGTTTTGTCAGCATGCGGAGGACCAACATCATATTAGGCAGGTTGTCGTAATGTTTTGGCTCATCTGTGTATATATCTTTTTTTTTTATTATTAACTTTTTTTATTTTGTTTTAGTTTACTGTTTACACGAAACCCATTTTCAACTAAAAACGTAAAACTTTTTATGTGTTTTGGCCGTTCGTTTAAACGACAAATAAGTTTTAAGCATATCGTTGCCGTGTAAACGTACCCCAAAGGCCTGTTCACACCGGGACGAATTTCGCGCGCGATATTCGCCGACGTTTAACGCCTCGTGACTAAACAAAGGGCGCCTATGTGAGTGTGCACACCGACACGAAAAGCGCCACACGTAAAAGCGTCATTTTAAAAAAAAAAACGCCTCGGGTTCGTTTTTTTAGTTTGACGCGCCGCATCAAAAACTATCCGACCAATGAGATTGGCGCTTTTGCTCACGTGTCTGGAGCTTCTGAAGTTACAGTAAAACACAACTTGGGGGCGCTCAAACACAAAACGGTCTTGCCGAGCACACATACGTAACGGCGAAGAAGATATACGCCAAGTAGTGTCTACACTGCCGGGAAGAAATAAGACGAGGAAGATGCGAGGCAAGATGAATGTAGAGCTGCTGGTCTCGTTGGTGTCGGAACATAAAGAACTATATGACAAACGCGACAGCGACTACACAAATCTTGATACAAGAGAACTGTTATGGAGTGGTATTGCAGAGCAAATGGGCGCCATCTAATGTCAGGGAATGAATTTGCATGTTCACTCGGCTCATCGTTAGCGAAAATCGCTTGGGTGTGAACACAGAAAACGTGTTGAAAAACGCTGACGAATAACGCGCGCCGATATTCGTCCCGGTGTGTACGAGCCTTAGAACTATTATGTTTAGGATGGTCAATGATTGGTCAAAAATGTCCTATTTGTGAGATTCACTCAGATAGTGGTTCTGTTTGGTTCAGGCAGTAGCTGGATTACATGGCATGCAGCTCGGCGATAAAAAGCTCATCGTCCAGAGGGCAAGTGTGGGCGCCAAGAATGCCAATCCTGTAAGTTCCAGCCCTCAACACTTCAACACAACAGTTCTCGTCAATAATTTCCAGCTGTTATGGCAAAAATAAGACATTCATGAAACTTGGCCAACTTCAAGCTCTCAGTTGTGTCAGAGGTCCCGTCTCGCATCATGTTTTCTCTGCATGCAGACTGCTGTTGTAGAGACGCCAGTGACGCTCCAGGTCCCGGGACTGCAGCGCGTGCAGAACTCCGGCCGGCCCACCGAGGTGTTGTGTCTGCTGAACATGGTCATGCCGGAGGAGCTGCTGGACGACGAGGACTATGAGGAGATCCTGGAGGACATCCGTGAGGAGTGCTGCAAGTACGGCACTGTGCGCTCTATCGAGATCCCCAGGCCGGTGGATGGTGTGGAGGTGCCAGGCTGTGGGAAGGTGATGAGTGCCTTCAAGAGTAGGAAATACCCTTAAACAAAGGCCTTTGAGGATCTGTCCATTCACATAATCAATATTCCCCAACCAAACCTTTACCATGGTTGGATTTGAATAGGATCTGAGGAATAGTTCAGCTCTACTGTATATTACAATTCTGCCATTATTTACTTACCCTGTTATTTTATAAAAGAGCACATATAGGATATTTATCAAAAAAAGAAAAAAGTATAGCTTTGGGACAGCATGAAGATTAATAAATGGTGACAAAATGTCAATTTTGAGTGAATTCGAATTGTAATTTTATTTATTTATTTCCTTTATTACTGAGGCTGTTTGTATTATTGTAATTTTTCTTAATACAGGATTATTATTAACTAAAACCATTTAAAAAAAAAAAAAATTCTTACTTGAAATAAAATAAACATTAACTGAAATAACACAAAACATAAACATGTATTTACTTTACTTTGCCACTGCAACATTTCTCATTTTCGTTTATTTGAATATGTACTAAAATAATTAAAGCTAAATCTGAAATACAATAAAATAAAAACTATATAGACATTTAAAGACATTAAAAAAAACGAATAAAAAGACAAAAACACAGCAACATTACAAACTAAAAACTTAAAATTACTTAACATTAAAAATAATAAAAAATAAAAACTACACTAAAAATTACTGTAAAAAGCAATTTTGGTTGCCAGTAAGATTATAAATTAACAAAAGTACCATAAATCATCAACTACAATTGTACTGTAAAAGCACAGCACATCTGCAGCAAAACAAGAGCAGCTGTTAATATACAGTTCTTTACTGTAATTTTATCTATAGTTATAATACCATGCCATTTTAAGTTTAAAAAGTTTAAAAATAATATTTGTACTTCGGTAATAATGCGAGTATATTAGTACTGTGAACTTATTTCATTTGAGTGCACTAAAAAATAATATTTCTTAAAATAAAATTATGAAGCTAAATGATTAAAACTAGCATCATCAATTTAACGCGAATTTAACGCTAGCAAACAAACACACTCAAACATGTGCTAATGCAGTTAGCAAAGATATTATCACTGCATTAGCAACTCTAAAAATTTTAACAAAAACTATAATAGTATCTCAATGACGCTAAGATAACGCTATTTCAATACTTCTCAATATTAAATACTTATTCATATTTTAAGGCTTGTCTTATAGCGGTAGTTTCTCTCTGTTGCAGATTTTCGTGGAGTACGTGTCTGCTGCTGAATGCCAGAAGGCCATGCAAGCACTGACGGGACGCAAGTTTGCTAACCGCGTGGTGGTCACCAAATACTACGATCCAGACATGTATCACAGACACGAGTTCTGAGGGCAGAGAGACAACGCACCATCTGAGTGTGACGATTTAATGAGCTGTATGTAGTTTTACACTTGTCATCTTCTACTTTGACTTCTCAATTACTTTTCCTTATTGAAAAAAATAGATCTGAGTAGCCATGTAGAAATGACTTAGTCATTTAGTACAGCAGTGTCAAGCGATCTCTTCAAGCGATCTCTGTTCACACATATAGTGATTTACAGTGACAAAGTGACCAGAATCACTCATTTTCAATGAAAATTGGTGATTTCCCAAATCAAGCGGGCATCAGGCAACGTGATGTGATGTGGGCGTGTCCAGGAGAGTTTAGATTTATGCAAATGACAATTGACAAACACACCTAGGAGTGAAGGCACTAGAGCACATGCGATTTGTCTGGTGTGAGATAGAGGAAAGGAGCGATTTCACTGTTCTGTACACTCAGAAAAGGTACACCTTTGTACTTTATTTACCCCTTAAGGGGGCAGATTGGTACCTTAAAGGATCCTTTTGAAAGGGAAAACTGGCAGTAATCGTTTAGGCGAATTGAGCCATTTTGGTTCATGCAAACAATAATATTGTTTAAATATGTAATACCTATGGCGGTGCAACTTAAGGGGTTATATGACGAATAATGCACTTTATGCATTATGCAGTTATAGCCTATGTATAAATAACATTTACAATATACATACACCCTTCTAAAGAGGAACGGCCAAATATACTGCCACTCGATGAGCTGATGAAATCACTGTATGTGTGAACATAAATCCTGCAGCATTGTATGACAAAACATCTTGTTGGCCCCGCCCACAGTAAAACATCATTGGTCCAAAGCCCTGATACAATCAGCTGTGTTTGAAACATCAGATTTGCTCTATTTGACTGTGATTTCGAGGCTTTGTGAGAACAGAAATATCACTCGACACCTGAAACTTGTCATGTTGTGCCTATACTTAGAACAACGAATATCAGAATAGAACATAATTCTCAGACTAGAAATTGTTTTATGTGTCTTTGTATGAATCTGAAGCAAAAGTCTAGCCTTGTTCTGTACTTAAAACAACAATGAACACTGCAAACACCCACAGAGACTGAACTCAGATGCATTACATGCTCTTTAACATAGACAATGTGTGAGTTTTGTTAGGAACAGAGCTTCTGCTTCATACCAGCGAAAGCATATTCATGTTAACTTTTTTACAAAAAAAAAAAAAATGTATCCAATATTTAAGTCAACAAATGCCTCCATGATGTATTATATTATATTATTAAATATATTGCTGTTTTTCTTTCCACATTATACTGAGAATTAGTTTTTTGGTTTGGGGGTTGTTGTTTTTTTGCCTTAAGATAATGACAATATATGGTATTATCATGAAAATAATGTCTCGATGCCAGAAATAGGCAGACAATAATGTATTTCTTTTGTTTCTTTTCGGGCTGAAATATGATCCAGGTTTGATGAAATTCATAAATTGTTGGTAGCTTTGAAATACTGCTGATAGATACAGTATGCTAATGCTGTAAAGCTGCATATTTGCACATGCGTTACTTTATATCCTTCAAGATTGATGGATGAGATTTTCTATCATGTTTCAATATTCTTCAAAACAACATGGGCTACTCTGAACCGAGTTTTATGCCAGAATGTATTGGTTCTCATTGGAAAATGGCAAAAAGGCTGAAATGTCTTCAAAGGTGTCAGAACAGATAACATTTGACAAGAAAACACAGCCTGTTTCTCCCTATCATGATGAAAGCAAAAGTCCTGACAGAAATACTACAGTATCTGCTGTGGAAACATGATCCGACTGAGCAGAGTTCTCACTCTTTTTTCTCAATCTTAAGAAGCAATCTCAATCTTAAATGTGTCAGTCAGACGATGATTTTTAAAGGTGCAATGTGTAACATTTTTGAGTATCTATTAACAGAAATGCAATATGACATCCATAACTATGTGTTCAGTGGTGTATAAAGAACTTACTTAATAAACCGTAATGTTTTTATTACCTTAGAATGAGGCATTTATATCTACATAGGCGCGGGAAACCCCTTCTATGAAGGCCGCCATATTGTGACGTCATGTTTCTACCGTAGCCGACAGCGAACAAACAGTGTTACAGAGCGCGTTTCGTCACTACATTGAAAGAGAAGCCGCAGGAAGCTAGAAGAAGCTAGTCATAAACACCGTGAGTAGTGACTTTTCCCTTGTCAGTGGTGTAAATATGTAGTTGGATTGTTTCATGTAACTTAATTCTTCTCCCTTGCTGTGTTATGGCTTTGCTATGTGGGGATAAATGTGCTGGTTACGTTCGTGAGACAGCTGATTAGTAGGCTACTCTTGTCATTGACCGTAAAACAGTTACAGGAATCACCAACCCGTCGATCTTGGAAGCATTTTAAGTCGATCGAGTTTCCAAAATCAGAGAAAAAAGCCTTTGTGTGTAGTAAGTGGTGTCTAGGGGATGCGGAGGCGCGCGCGCTGTCACAATCGCGTCATTTTTGCCGCACGCACCTTTGGGCTCATGCGGACGCGTCGAGTTTAAACAAGGCTCAGCCACAGTAACAGCTCATATTAGCCAGCTAAACTTTTACTACCCTGTTAGAAAAAATATATTGTTGCATAGTTTCATGTGGTTCTTCTCCCTCGCTGTATTATGGGTTTGCTGTGTGGCGAGAATGTGCTGGTTACATTTGTGAGACAATCAGCTGATTACTATTATATTATGTAAGGTGCATTGTGTAATATTTCTGAGGATCTATTGACAGAAATGCAATATAAAATCCATAACTATGTTTTCAGTGGTGTATAAAGACCTTACTTAATGAACCGTTATGTTTTCATTACCTTAGAATGAGACATTTATATCTACATAGACGCGGGAATCCCCTTCTATGAAGGTCTGAAGGTATGTTTCTACCGTAGCCGAAAGCGAACAAACAGCGCTAAAGAAACCTCATTGCTTGACTTACTACTCTCTGCTGCTGACTCAGACTCAGACGACGACATATTTTGTCTTACGTCGGCCACCGTAGCTTCTCATTCGAGTTTGAAAACCGAGGGATAGGCCGCGAGTGACTTGCTGTTTGCAATTTGCAATTGTCACGACTAGATGCCGCTAAAAATCCCACACTGCACCTTTAAAATATATGTAGCCCCCCCGTAGGGCTATGGCAGTGCTAACTACGCCACCCCTTGAACAGGACTAGTAAGAGCAAGGGGACTATGTTGCGACAAAAAGCATGCACAGTCTTGGATTAACAAAGTAAAAAAAAAATACAATCTTTATTTTTGTTTCAGTTAAAAATGAGTCGCTTTTGGTTATCAATAAATAACACGAACATACATCATTTGACATAGGGATAAGCCATAGGAGGGTGGGCCACCGGATTACAAGCTTGCCCAGGCCTAGGTTTCAATCCCACACGTGAACTAAGGCACACCCTTAAGGTAGAACCAACACTACAAACTTAGCCTACACAATCACAGCAATCATGCTCTTTGAGCCATTTCTAAAAGGTGCACACGTCACAGCATTACACTGCACACATTGGTTCCAAAAAGGGTGAAGCACTAAGGAAACTAGGCTAGAACCTGGTGCGCTAGTCTTTCCTATGGGCCCAATCCACCCCAAGACTATTACTGGGGAGAGTGATAAAACCAACAACAAATCAGAAAAGAAGAAATCGCTAGCCAGTGGTCACAATTGGTTCACTAACACAAATCTCTTACAACCCACCGGTTAGCGGGGGAAAAAAAGAGAAATAAACATTACCGAAAAGCGTCTAAAAAGCAGCACATGCACATTCATACACATTTAAACAAATTCAAGAGAACAGCAGCCGACAATGGATTGGCTGTAGCCTCTGCCTGCCGTCTAACGATTGCGTGGGTAGACAGTGTTTCGGCGCTTCACAATTTCAGCAGGGTCACGAAACGCTCCTCTGTGTTCATCAATCTAGGCATTCCAATATGTTTCGGAAGCATACACACACAAACAATAGTGCTGTTGGCAGTCACTCACAACACCTTGCGCTACAAACAGCACCCCGGAACACTGCTGCACTCAACCCGTTAGCAGCTAGCTACAATGTATGACTCCCGCCATGAGGACCCCAGGTGCCTATATACCTGCCTGCTCTCAATTTCTAACCACTCCCAGCCACATTAGGTACCGTAGCAACACGGGGGGGGAGTGAAGGAGAGAGATGAGAGAGAGAAACAAAGAACGTCTCAAACCCACAGGCTACAATCCACCCCCTCTAAATGAATCGGCGGCCCGACGATGACACCTCATGTCCGGGAGTCTTCATCCTCTATTTCTGATGGACCATAATTTATGCCCCTAGTCGACCTGGGTAGATGGTAAGGATTGGAATGTTGCCCTGCCGTAGACCTCGCTGAACGGCGCATGGCCACTGTTGTCCTCAGGCACCTCAGCTGTATCTTCAATGTCAATTTCCTCCAACGCTGAAGTGCCGGTTGAAGCAGGTGCAGCTTGGGGCTCTTGTTCAGCACCATACCAAATGATCACGTCCCGGGCATAACCATCGTCACCAACAGGAGGGCCTTTGGAGGTCTCCTCTTCCCGAGCTGGACCAGGGAAACGACCAGGCCCGGGCCTCAATCCCGCAGGGACGCCGCGCATCTCAGAACGATGCAGTCCTGACGGATGCACCTGTCGAACAGATCCACCCGCATCTGCAGGGATCACCGTGTATAGGGCTCCTGCTCCAGAAGGGCAGCGCACAACTCGATAGGCTACAGAGTTCCAGTAGTCCTGGATTTTAGTTCCGCAGATAGATCAAATCCCCTTCTTGGAACCCGGCATCATTCACCTGATCATTATGGCTCTGGTTCCGCCTGAGGGCCACTTCTTCTGATCTCTTTCTGACGTGTTCATCCTGTTACGTGAGCCATCCTGATGCTTTGCTGGTGTTTTTCAACCCACTCTTCTAGGGTGTTGATGTCTGGGACAGCCTCCCTGGTACCAAGCAAGAAATCAACTGGCAGTCTTGGATGGTGGCCAAAC